TATCAACAATGGTTTAAAGGAATATGTTTATTCTTATTTTCACAGTATAATTGTTATGCGATTGTGAAATCAGATTTTAAAAAAATAATAATAAAAAACGAAGGAAATTTAAAAAAAAAACGTCGAAATCGAAGATGATAATGACGGTAAATAAGCAAAATAATAAAAGTGAGCGAAGGATAACGGCACTTGTCTCGTCGCGGACGGATACGAGATACATATATATACATATGTATTTAAAAAAATACTAAAACAAAAGTATATTACGTACACGTAGATGTTTGGGAGGAAACTAAAATATTTTCATGTCTCAATCTAAAATGACATCTCGTTGTTTGTTCGCTTTTCTTCCTTCTGCTCCTCGCCAACTTTTAATACAACCACACGCTATGAAATTATTATTAAATTTAAATGGGAAAACTTCTTTGGGATAGATAATAATATTGAAGGTGGTAAATTTGTAAAAATTTTTTTTTTTTTTTGTCGATCTCGAGCAAAATAAGAATACAATGATGTAATTATAAAAAAAAACAAAAATAAAAATAAAAATAAAAAAAATGATGGAAAGAAAAACCACTCGCATTCGCTCGTGTCCACTGTCGACGAGATGCTGAGTCGATTTTTTGCAGATTTATTATACCTATATTAGGCTTACGTTAAACACCTCATTTGTAAATATTAGAACGTATTTTTGTCGTCTATGTAAAATCAACAAGGATTTTAACTAATGGCTTAGTTCTTAGCGTAAACGAAAATAAAGTTGAGAACATAAAGGGAAAAAATTGAAAAAAAAAAATATACGTTTATGTGTCTCTTTATTCGATTCCGCACTCCTTGTCACATATCCTACCTTCCGCATCTTAAGTTTTTATTAATTACAAATATATTTATATTTTTTAAAAGTCATGGTGATTAAAAATTTTACTTATTTTATTTTACAGATATCTGACTTATTTTTTTTTTATTCTTTTTATTTTTTTGCTGCAAATTTAATGTATCAATCATCATTATTGGTTTCAAAAAAAGCAATCATAAAATAGAAATGGTAAAATTATTACATAAAAGATAATGATTAGTTGGATTTACTAAACGCTTTTCGTTCAGCTTATTTTCATATTGCAACACGTAGATCATCATTTGACCGATAAGAGTTATCTTGTGTTGATAATTACAATATCACTGATACGCGAATCTGCAAATATTCGTTTTTTGTTTCCATAAAAAGAAAAAAAAAAAAAAAGAATTTTAATTTTAGCTTATCTGTGGCCCTGCATTGATTACACACAAAAGTACGTGAACGATAATCGTTATCTCTAATGTTCTATCCGACTGTTATGAAATCACATCAGCGCAACACAGTACTCGTACCTTGTACTATTATTGAAAGTGTCACAATGAACGTGTACCCATAATACAGCTTGAATCAACATTCATTGAGATGAACGTAAAAAGTATACGGAGCTAAGATGATAAGGAGCTGAAACTCGGTAGACAAGTAATATATACTTTAAAAACTATATTTTAATGTTTTTCCGATCCAACAAATCAACGTATCGATTTCAAGTAAATATATATTACACGGGAAACATTAAGAGTAAGTCGCGTCTTTGACTATAGAGAGAGGCGCTTCTTAACCGGTCGCGGGTCGATTTGGACAAACAATTAAAAAACGATCGTCCAACCGAACCATATTATTTATATCTTTGTACACACATGTAAGTATAATACTATACTCTGCTAGTGCTCGTATGTACTGGGCACTTGTACAAAGTTAACTCGTCTATCCGTCTAAATGTGCAATGCGTGACGAAGGAGGATTTTCACAAAGGCTGTCAAGACGGTCAATTAAAAGTTGTTTCGAGCTACACGCAACAGCCAAGAGATGAACAAGCAAGAATATACACACCTTCCTTGTCATTTTCAGCAAGTCACGTTGCTCTTATATACCTCTTACCCGTACGTTGTGGAAGAGAGGTGTGTGCTGTTATCGTATCAGCAGCAGATGCATATCTATTATACACGTGTGTATATTATGTGTATCATAGCCATCGTCACTCGTGAGAGTAAACGTGGCTTGTCATCCAAAATATTCGAAAGGCAAATCGGTCCCATACCAAATCAAGTTTTGACTTCTGTTATTTCGGGCTATTAGTTAACGATCGGCAACGCATGGATTGCACGTGAAAAATGCCACTGAAAAGCTCGGCCTCGAATCCTCATCGATGGAGATCACATGGGGATTGTTGGCTCTGAAAATGATCGAACCAAAGGGTCCGAAGATCGTGTGTATGATACTATGACTTTTCCGAGTAGATCAATCATAAGAAATGGCACATTGGCGCAATCGCCTCCACCTCTACGTTGTTTAAATCGGTAAAAATTAAAAGGGCTTGCTTACCGATTTTTTTTTTTTTTTCATCACAACGACCCCAAAGGGCCGTTACTCGGTAGAGTCCCACTTTCATTCGAGGATCGGTAAGCCTTAGTGTACTTTTTTTATACACATACAGTTAGCGCAGGACTTTACATTATGTGGTACACTCGTGTATTTGTAGCAACGTGTGTGTATATATATATACGCACGCGATCAGAGACAAAGAGAGGTATACACCGAGGAGTTGTACAGCAGTGGGGAGAAAGGAATGAAAGAGAGACGGACGGATGGATACAGTGCACTTATCTCTCGCGCAACCACATTATAAAAAGCCCACCGGGTACCCGGCGTCGCGTCATTGAGTACCATTACTCCGGCTCTCGTGCACGTATATCCAGTACAACTCGATTTTTTTTTTTTTTTTCTCTTCTCCCGTAAACAAAAAATGTAAGTCATTTTTGTTGTTTAATATATTGTTCAAGGTAAGGATTGATCGCGCGTTTTATATTACCTGTTATTTTTTCGTTGATATTGTATAGAAAATGCCGGACTACAAGCTGTGGTACTTCAACATTACCGGTCTCGGTGAGCCGATCCGATTCCTCATGAGCTACGCCGGCCTGGACTTCAAGGACCACAGGCTCAGCTTCGAGGAATGGCCCCAGCACAAATCGAGTAAGTTCGCCTATTGTTTTTGGTAAAATAAATAAGAGTATACGAATGGATGTTCATGTGTATATGTGTAACGTATAGTGGCGTTTTGCCACGTCGCGGGCGTGTCTCCTTACTCCAGCCGCGGCAATTTTCCAATTTTATTAATTATTTGATCCAAGGTTTTCTTTCGTCAAATGGTCGGGAAAAAAAAAAAATTACATGAATATGTGCACGGGCGTTGGCTAGTATACACGCACCTATACTTAGGTGAGAGGGAGAAGGTGTACGGGTATACCTGTGCGCAGGTACATCAATTACACTGACACACATTACCGGCTAACTCATCGTGTTGTAACGACGAGGGTTTATATATATGCTGCATGCACGGATGCGGTTATTCAAACAATCGAATGGTGTTTTTTTTTTTTTTTTTTTTTTTTTTTTTTTTTTTCTTTCCATAGAATCGCGTGCTTCGGATCTAAACACGCTCGTGGGGTCGATGTAAAAAAAAATCGAGATCGGTATGATATGCAATTGTACGTGAGTCACTTGCGCCTTAGCGAGAATAATTATAATTACAAACCATTAACCCGGTGGTGGTTGCAGCCTATTGTGTATTGTGCAATCTTTCATGTATATATTACTGCATCACCATGTTCTGAGAAATATGCATACCGTAACATTTACGGTGCGTATAGGTTCTCTCCTTGGTTACATAAACCAGGCTCACTTTTTTTAAATATTATTCCATCACGTTTTATTCACCATAATAAATTGATACCCATACTACACGTATATGCATTGCCGCAGTTAAGCTGTGTTATCGTGTTTACTGATGTGGAAGCGCGATTCTTTATCATTTTAGCTACGCAGAACTGTTTTATTATCAGATAAAAATTTACCGATTTTTTTTGTTCGTTTCCACAAAAAAAAAGCCTACAGTTTTAATTTTTGTAACTTTCCGTAGAAATGCCGATGGAGCAGATGCCGATTTTAGAAATCGACGGCAAAGTTTACCACCAGACCAAAGCCATCTGTCGCTACTTGGCGAAGCAGTGCAAGCTCTACAGCTCCGATGATCTTGAGGCTTTGGAAATCGATGGCAGCATCGACGATATCGATGACATGAGGATCCGTAAGTACAGCTCAAGTAGAGCCGGCTATCCTTTCCCAATTGCTCGCGAAAGCCAAACGAATTGTTTTAAGTACTTATTTTAATTTTTTTCCACAAACAAAATAGATTGCATGAGATTTTTCCGCGAGGACGACGCCACATACAAAGCGAAACTAAAGGCCGCGGCTCTTGAAAAAATGCCCTTTTATCTGGGCAAGTTCGAAGAGAGGGTGAACAAGAACGGCGGCTTCTTCGTTGGCAGCAAGGTACAGTTGTAAACGTTATCTATGCGAGTGTGCACTTAATGCTACCCACGTGTCGCGAGATAAATGTTTTGAACATAAAAAATAAATGGACGTTATTCTTCCACAGATGACTTACGCGGACATCTACTTCACGCCGGTCATCGATTTGCTCACTCACTTCTTGGAGCACGACTACCTCAAGGACTACCCAGCCTTGAAGAAGTTACACGATACCGTTTCGGCACATCCCAAAATCAAGGCTTACCTCGACAAGAGACCGAAAACTGCGTTCTAAATTGATATCATAAAACCTTTTCTTTTTTTTCTCTTTTTTTTTTTTTTTTTTTTCTATCAATCCAACGTTCTATTTGTACTGTTGCAGAGCGAAAAACTTTGATGAAAAATATTAGATTAAAGATGGATAATTAAACAGTATTGTTTATACAAAAAAGCTTGTTGACTTTATTTTACTTTTTTAGTCACATTTTTATCAAACATGTGTATATACATAAAAATCGTAGTTTAAAAAGATACTTTAGTGAAATTCTAATTGATCTGAGGCTTCCAACTTAACTATCATAATTTTTGAGACGGCGTGGAGTCGGACGGTGGTGCCAGCGACTGATGTAGCTTCGAAACCGCGGTCTTGACGATCTGCTGGAACGTCTCGTCCTCATTGCACGCGACGTCAAGTGTAACCAAGTCGATGTGAGCTTTTTTATTGTCCACCGTGACGTAGAGCTTTTCGCCCTTGAATATCTTGGGAACCGAGTCCTCCCCAAACATCTCCTGCAACATCTCGATGAGACATTCCTTGAAATGCATCCTGTCCATCTTGGTGGGTGCAGCCAGCATTTTTGGGTTGCTATCCATAGTTTCGGCTTGTAGGAGCGCGGCGAGCACCGCGTCGGCATACATGTCGTTCACGGGAGTAGCCATCCACTCGAGCGTCACTATCTTGCCTTCCACCGTCACGTCTACGTTCTTGAAGATGCGCATCTTCCTGTCGTCGATCATGTCGATGTTTCCAGCTATTTGAGTGAGCAGGTGTTTGAGGGTGGGTAACGATGCTGAATAATAAATGCTCATCCTCTGCACCACCTGGCTCATACTCATATCGGTGTATTTGGACAAGTCACACGGATCCAGCAGATGGTAGTTAAAATTGCGCTTGACCAGCACTCCAGATAATTTCTGTCCGGGTTTGGGTTTGTCCACGGCCAATGTGCCCATCACCTTCGCCGTTTTCTCGCCTCTGAAGTAAAGCTCCACTGCCGCAGAATTGCGAGGATTGTGAATTTCGATCGTTGTGTTGGGGTCGTCCTCGTATTCGCGCTGTAGGGCAGCCTTCAAGCGACTCATTTCATTTTGTTCACCGTGCACGAGGATGACGTGCAGCGGTTTGAGTATTCGTATGAATTCGGAGGTCTGCTGGTAGTCCGTGTGAGCTGAGAACGAAATATAATCCACGGACATCTTTAGCGGCAGCTTTTGGCCGCTCATTGTTTGTATTTCTTCGGGCTCGGAGAGTATCGTCTTGGCCAGGGTTCCTTCCACGCAATAACCGGCAATGATCACTCCGTTTTTGGAATCGGTACACCACGACTCGAATAGCTCGCGCGACAAGCCACTTTGCATCATACCTGGTGATGCCATGACCACGCACGGCCCAATGTCGTCAAAGTGATCGATGCCCTTGAGATTCGATATGTGCTTGAAGACGAACGGATTATTGATGGCGATTTGTTTTCGAATCTTTTCGTTCATCGCGTTTACGTACGTTTGGTAAACGGCCATGCACTTTTTTGCCAAAGACGATGCGTAGTATATCGGAATCTCGTGCAATTCTGGGTGCAGGCTCCAATACTCGTCCAGAATCAAAAGTAATTCTTGCGCTCGGCCCAATGCAAATACAGGAATAAGACACCTGCCGCCACGGTTAACGATTTCATGCACCAAGTTTGTAAAACGACTCTCACGATCCTCGCGTTTTTCGTGGATGTGAGTGCCATAAGTGGATTCTGTGATTAAAACATCTGGATGCACATTTGGTATTTCTGCAGCCATCAAGTGCCGATCTTCTTGTCGACTAAAGTCTCCCGTGTACAAAATTTTTACACCTGCGGAAAAATAATTACGTGTATAATCAGTTGCATCATTCTCAATGTGAGTGTTGAAAAAGAAAAATTTACCTGCAATTTCAATCATAAACATAGCGGCACCCAAAACGTGACCAGCATTGTAGGCCCAAAATTTAATACCAGATACATCTCTTTCTTCGTGAAAGTTGATAGTTTCAATCCTATCCATACTGGACTCCAAATCAGCCTCGGTGTAAAGCATCTGTTCAGTAGCAATGTTACTGACTTTGATGTAATCTGATAATAGCCATCTGTAAATAGCCTTAGTGGCATGTGTCATGAGACACCTGCCTTTGAAAGTTGTTTTTGTTAAGAACCAGGGTAGAGCTGCACAATGATCCAAGTGAAAATGCGAGATCAGAAGTAGATCAATCTCGTCCGCTTCCACAAGATCCAAGAATGGCAGCGCGTCCATTCCACTCAATCCTGGATGAATACCGCAATCCAACATAATCTTTTTGCCTTTGAACTCCAGCATGATGCAGGATCGACCTACTTCCTGTCCAGCCCCAAGAGGCCTGACGACTAGTAAATCACTTTCCTCAGCTGGAATCGGAGCATCAGCCTTTCGCTTGACTTGAGCGTTAGACATCTGCAATAGCGTTAGACAACGAATATCAACAATGGTTTAAAGGATTGATTATTACCACATGAGAAATGAATATTGGACTTACTTTGACGTTTAATTTCTACGCTGTGTCTATTCGCACCAAATCCACGTAATTACGTGGATATAAGGTTGCATGCGTTGTTTAACTTTATTTAAACGCTGTGTCTATTCGCACCAAATCCACGTAATTACGTGGATATAAGGTTAAGAATTTTAAAGAAAAACGCTACTTTTTCAAATGAAGTATGTCCACTTGAAGTAAAGTTCGCACCAGTGCCCTCGCCTGGGCGTCTACTGAAGCGGGAGGGAAACGAAACCAGAGACTAGACTTCTAATCTCTGACGAAACGCACGAGCGTTCGTTTTGACGTTTTGAGTTAGCGCGCACGCGTTTGGCTGCAGCACCCTGAGGGTGAGTAGATTACATGGAGTCTGGCAGTCTGCAGACTGGCAGAATCGCGCTAAGTTTAAAATATGTTTCAATATTAATATTTAAAACCTGTTACGTAAGCAAAGAAATAATTATCGTAATACATTTGCATTTCTGTATTAACTAATATTTACGAAAAAAAAGGCGACGAAAAACGTTTTGTCACAGTTACATATTGTTATACATAGCAGGTTGCATCAGTGACCCTACTGACCGACTGTACGATGTTATGCCTATAAGAGAACATGTGTGTGTATGAAAGCACAATTTTTATTTTTACTTGCTGATATGCTGATACATAAATAAATATGTATATATCTGTGGCGTCTCACATCTCTCGCGCTTCAGACTCTACTCGCCAGGTGGCCAAGCCCCTAATAGTTCGCTCCCGTCAAGCGGCGAAATTCCCGCACGATTGTAATAAGCGCGATCGAGATGGTCTAAGCAAAAAAATTTAAAATTAAAAAAAATTTAATTTAACATTAATTTCTTAAATTTCTTAAATTTCTTTAAAATTCCTAACCTTATATCCACGTAATTACGTGGATTTGGTGCGAATAGACACAGCGTTATTTAAAACATCCAAAAAGAACACTATAAACTTTTTCTCTGTAAAGTAAAAGTACCGATAACTATATATCGTAAAAATATCAAAACGTAGGTTTGGTGCAAATATTTTTCACCGTACAACAAGAAATCATTTTCGCAAATTCAAGAAAACTGCGTTGGATGTAGGTTAGGGAGTACCGGGGTGCGGGGTGAACGGTCACGGTCATAGATCATAGACTCATAAAGATGTAGTATAGTTGCTGCAGTTTAATTTTTGCGAGTAGTATACAGCGTGACCGGGGAGATAAAAAAGATATGATATGCGAATAAATAAAGAACGAAAATGTAATGACAAGCGAAAATAAGAGAAATGTTATAATGACACGATGAAAAACGACATGTTAAAAGACAATGTAAATGTTGAATGAATAAAGACAGTGTACTTACATACCCATAGTAGGTCAGTACACTATAATGTAAATATATATATATATGTATACATGCATGTCCACCCCCCTCCAATTCTATTAAATCGCTCAACGACCAATCAGATGTGTTTCAGCTGGTTTTTAAATTTCAGCTCGCCGTTTTGACGTTACTTCACGGACACTTCACATTCACGTGCCATGCCTCTTCGAGTGAAGTATTCATTGAACGAGCAATCTTACGGACTCCTCGAGTTCGCATTCAATAATTAAGTAGTATTTAAGTATTTGGTACATATATTACTATGTCACAAAAATCGTCGGTGCGAAAAAAACGCGTGAAAACCACCTTGACTACAGATAATTCGTTAAAAAAGGTGGACAGCGACATCGCCGAGTACTTCGACGACATCCTGAGTTTTGTTCCCGAGAACAATCGGACCAAAAGGACGCGAGTGTCTGTGATACGTGAGGATAATGGTGTCGTGGTGCCAATTATCAGTGTCAAAAGAGCGAATTCGAGGGCAGTGGGGAGTAAAGCCAAAGTTGCCGCGGAGAATGTCAGCGCACCTGTATTACCTGCGAAAAGGTGCAAAAGCATTTTGGGAAACAGGGGTGAGAGTGAAGATGACGACAAAAGTGAAAGCTCCCACGTCACGCCGACGCACTTATCTGTTTTGCGGACGCAAAATTTTTGCGCGTCGTTTAAAAATGGCAAGAGTAATATCTTCGATGGCCTTACTCAGGGGAGCTCCAAAATATTGAGTCTTCAGGCATTGAGTGATGTTGACAGTGAGAAACGTTTGGAGCTGTCCAGCTGGGGTCTACCTGCACTGGTTCTTGAGGTAAGTCTTTTTAAAAGTAATATGTGAAATATTAATGCAGATGGAAATATTAGATATTGGTATTTCAATTGTAAAGCAAAAAATTTATCATCATAGAAGTATCAGGCTAGGGGTGTTAGAAAAATGTTCTCCTGGCAAGTAGAGTGCCTGGCGAATAAAAAAATCTTGGAAGAAAATAAAAATCTGGTTTACTCTGCTCCGACTTCTGCTGGAAAGACATTGGTCGCTGAGTTTCTTCTTTTAAAAACAGTTTTGGAGCGCAGGAAAAAGGTCATTTTCATTTTACCATTTGTGTCTGTTGTCAGAGAGAAAATGTTTTATTTTCAAGTGAGTCAAATACTTTATGCTGTGATGATCAGCAGATATTTATGAATTTTTTAAGTTTTCTATGAAATTAAAAATCATCAGGACCTGTTAACGGACAGTGGAGTCAGGGTAGAAGGTTTTATGGGAGGTGTAGCACCATCTGGAGGTTTTTCAGCTGTGCATGTTGCAATAGCTACCATTGAAAAAGCTAATTCTCTGATAAATCGTTTGATGCAAGATGGTGACTTGGCTACTCTAGGAGCTGTTGTTATTGACGAGTTACATTTGCTTGGTGATTCCAGCAGGGGTTATTTGTTGGAACTTTTGCTAACAAAATTGAGATATATGACATTAAAGTAAGATTTAAAAAAAGTATCGTATGACTTACTGCATCAGAAGCAATCATTCATTTTTTTATATGAATAACTTTTCCAGTCTAGAGCATGTTAATATTCAGCTGATTGGCATGTCGGCAACTCTTCCGAATCTTCCTCTCATAGCTGAGTGGCTTGATGCAGAACTCTACAAGACTGATTTCAGACCGATTCCTCTTCAAGAGCAATGCAAAGTAACATTTGTCAAATTTTTATTCAACAAAATTTTCCAGCTCAAAATTAAAAAAAAAAAAAAATGAATTTTAGATTGGCTCATCCCTATTTGATAGAAATTTGAAAGAAGTCAGACAACTCGAGCCAGCACCTGACATAGTCAACGACCTGGATGGCATCATTCAGTTATGTATCGAAACGATAAACGGAGGCCATGGCGTTCTAATATTCTGCCCAACAAAAAATTGGTGCGAAAAACTAGCCACCCAAATGGCTAGCACGTTTTTCCAATTGGGTCGCGACAAAACGCCGCACGGCCAAATATTGCGCAAGCACATTGAGTCCACAGCTGTCGAAGAAGTACTAGAACAGCTTAAAAGCTGCCCAGTTGGCTTGGACAACGTATTGCGGAAAACTGTATCTTTTGGCGTGGCCTTCCATCACGCGGGTTTGACTATGGACGAGCGTGACATTATTGAGGGAGGTTTTCGGTAAGCGAGAGACCAATTTTTCAAATCCTAATGGCATCACCCTATTCTTCAATATAAAATAATAATATTCATCCAATTCATTACAGAGTAGGTTCACTTAAAGTTCTGATAGCTACTTCTACGCTGAGCAGCGGCGTTAATCTTCCTGCCAGGCGAGTAATCATACGTTCGCCACTTTTCGGTGGCAAACTGTTGGACAAATTAACTTACCAGCAAATGATCGGTCGAGCCGGTCGTATGGGCAAGGATACAGCAGGTACGAACCGATTTTTGCTCGTATACATATTTAAAAATAACGTAAGACAATAACATGAGAAAATTCTAATATTTCAGGTGAAAGTATCCTCATGTGTAATCAGAACGAGCGCTCGGCTGCGTCGAATTTAATGACGTCGTCAATAGAGCCGATCGTATCGTGCCTAAAGGACTCGGGACCTCTGGTTCGTGCTCTCCTCGAGGCTATCGCTAGCCAGATTGTGCGTACTCCAAGAGACCTTGACTTTTACAGCAAATGTACGTTCGTTTACAAATGTGAGGACAACGAAGTCAAAAACTTGGTCAACGAAGCCGTGACATTTTTAATCTCGAATGAATTCCTGCTGTACGTATTTTTTTTTTTCTTTCAATCGTAGGTACGCAAATGCCGATTTGTCATTAAAATTGTGGTTAACAAACGCAGCGTTAAAGACGTCGAGGGAGACGAGCAGAGAATGGTAGCGACGTGCTTGGGTAAAGCCTGTCTGTCCGCCTCTGTACCACCACGGGACGCACTCTTTCTGTTCGAGGAATTACAACGCGCGAGGAAGTGCTTTGTCCTCGACACGGAGCTGCATGTCATCTATCTGGTGACTCCCTTCAATGCTGGTAGTCAGATCGGTCAGATCGACTGGATGAGTTTTCTGGAGCTGTGGCGATCACTGTCGGAGAGTGAGCGTCGCGTCGGCCAGCTCGTTGGTGTCGAGGAGAGATTCCTGATGACTGCCATACGAGGTGTCGTTAAATCTGGCAAAAAGGTAAACAAACTTCCAGCAATTTGGCGATCAGTGATTTTCCTTAATAAAATAAATCCTCGCAATTTTTATCGCAGTTAAACATCCATCGAAGATTTTACACCGCTTTGGCGTTATACGATTTGGTACGGGAGGTACCGCTGAATGCCGTTTGTCGAAAGTACAGCTGCTGCCGCGGACTACTGCAGAGTTTGCAACAGTCATCAGCAACGTTCGCGGGTAATTTTTAACCATGTCGAATATATATTTTTTTTCAATTCAATAGAAGTAGTGACATTATTCTGCATGTTATATCGTGTGCAGGCATGGTAACTAGTTTTTGCAAAGAACTAAAATGGGACTGCATGGAGCTACTATTTGCTCAGTTCCAAACTCGCCTGCAGTTCGGTGTGTGTAGAGATTTACTGGATCTTCTTCGACTGCCAAGCTTGAACGGGCTTCGCGCACGAAGTTTATTTAAGCAGGGGATTACGACCGTAGCCGAACTTGCCGCTGCCAATGAGCTCGATGTCGAAGAAGCATTGAACAAAGCTCTTCCTTTCGAGAGGTATTTAATACTTTGATATTTCAACAATTTTGCGATTAGCTTTGGCATTGTAAAATAAAATATTTTTCTTAGTAAGAAAGATTTTGACGGGGGGAATGAAATGGAGATAGAAAAAAGGACTAAAATGAGAACAGTTTTTATCACGGGAAAAGATGGGCTCACTGCGCGAGAAGCTGCCCTGATTGTCATTAAAGAAGCCCGTGTTTTGCTAAAGGTAAAATACCTAGGTATCACTTTACTACGTTGTTTTTTTTAAACTAAAGAGTGTGCAATTTTTTTTTAGAACGAACTCGGCGTTTGTGATCTTCAGTGGAGTCAAAATCACAAGAACGGGGTTCAAGGCAGTCCTCGTTTTTCCGGTATAAATGCAATTTCTTCGAATCATCTGAGTTTATCGAACCTCTTGCCTCTCTCGCGAAGTCCGTCTTTTGAAGTGCGTACGGTAACGACGGAAGCTGTTATCAATAAGTTCGAAGAAAAATCAATGGAAGTGGGAGAAAAAAATTACAAACCGTCTACTTCGGAAAAATCAATAGATAATAGAAACGCTACAGCTGCCCTCAAAAATCATAATTTGATATCAATATCCAAATCATCCGATAAAATTGAAAATCAAGTCTCGATTACGGAAGAACTCAATTCAATTTCTAAGTCATTAAATATAACTGAAAGATTTGTGAATGAAAATCAAGCTACGATGATGGAAAAATCATTTAGTGATTTGGAGGCAAAAAAAACTCCAGAAAATAAAACTTGTATCTCTGAAAGTGGTAGCGAAATATTGTCTACGTCTTTGGAAGATATAATTAACGAAAGCGACAAAATCCAAGATGCTTCCAAGACGCTAAGATCAAAGCTGGCGGAGAGGACAAAAAGCTTCTTGAAAGAAGATCAAATAACTATTCGCTCACTCGATTTTGAAGACGAAATAAACTCATTGATTGATCAATCGCCTAAAATCAAACAAAAACCACAAAGGCCCGTTCAGAGTAATGCGAAATCTCAATCACTAGACTCCTTCCAAATGAGCGAACGTGCTATTAGTGAAATCATGCAAGTCGTCGAGAAACAAAACGAAGACGTATTTCAAGTACCAGCACCGGTTGTCGCTGCAAGATCAGAGGAAGAAAAGAAACGCACATCTATAGGCTCGAACTCTTCGAAAAGTCCTAGCTTATTCAGTGACAGTTCATTCTTGGATGCACAAGTCTGCAGTATATTGGAGAAAAACGTTATCGAGACCTGTTTCACTGATTCCGAGAAAAATGATACCCCTCCAAATTCTTCCAAAAATACCCGAACTCGTGAGCTACCTGTAAACGGTAAAGGTTCAATAAATTCTCCATCCACTTTAAAACAAACTACTTCCATTTGCTCCACAAGTACCTCAAAAAACGTGAAAAATAATCCGATCGATAAAAATTCTTCGTCGGCAAAAGTTCAACAACTTTACGAAAGTAAAACGTCAGACTTGAAACAGATATCAATGCCTATGACCTGGAACGACGACTCTTGGGATAGAACAGGCAACATCCAACCCAATAAAGAAAAAGAAAACGTCACAGACGAGAATCTTGACAAGGGGAGTCCGTCAATTCTACACATTTCGAAAATTCGCACACGCAGGCCGCTAATCACGACGCAGATTGGGCCCAAAAAAATTGAAGGCACGATCAATAAAAACCGATCGCGTGATTCGCCTTTAATCGGTACGCCGAAACCGGTTTTGCAAAAACGAGCTTCGGGTAAGGAGAGTGCCGAGAATAAAGTCGTTGCGTGCGGTATTAAAAACAGTTCTAGTCACAAAGCCAACATGCCAATTGTGTTCAGTTCGAATCAATCGGATTCCGAGGACTCGGTGGGCAGTTCGCAAATTACAGTTAAAACTGTGATCAACAAGACTCGTAGTAGAATCGATCAAAAAATAATGGCCACTCAAAAATTACGAAAATCTACGATGGATAAAAGTTCGAGTGCAAAAATTACGTGTGACTCTACTTCAAAGCTAGTCAAACAAAACTCGGATTTTTTTTCAGAAGACACTACCACAAGCGATAACGACAGCTCCGAAAGCTGTTTGATGTTTGATTCGGATGATACTTTTAACTCGCGGCCGAAAAAATCAAAAAGAGTAAAGTATCTAATTTTTTTTTTTTTTTTAACTTGTCAGTAATATATTTATCGTTTTGTGGCTAAATCAATTTATTGTGTTTAAAGATCACAGGCAGCACAGCTTCAGACCAAATGTTGCGATCCAACAGTTGTATGAGCACATGGAGTAGCGATGAAATAATCGATTCTAGCTCTGTAAAACTAGTAAACGTAGCAACTTCGAAACAAACGTTCCGATTGTTCCGTAATGAAGTCAAGCGAAAAAATATGGCTATAGCACTTGTCACTGAACCATACAACAGAGATCCAGTTCTCACGATTGGTGGTAGGATAGTGGGTACGGAAAACAAGAAAAATACCAAAAAGACTGAACCTTTTGTATATAAGAACAGTAAAGTCCGCGGGGTCATTTTTAGCTGGGGTATGAAAGCGGTGTATTACGTGCCTTTTAACAATTCGATAGGTGAGACACTTGTAAATACTAAATTTAAAGTAAAATGTATTTATTTTTAATAAATTATCGAATATTTGTAGAAACAAAGGTTACGATAAAAGAAAGAATGAATTTACTTCGAGAAATTTTAAGTGATCCAACAGTAAGTTTGCGTTGCTTCAAGGCAAAGGAAGTTTATAAATTTTTATACGTGTGCTGTGAAATTCAATCGTCTTGCGAGTTTCTCGATCCTCTAACGGCCGATTGGTTGATGAACTCGGAAAGCGTTTACAAAAGCAACATCGAAATGGTAATTTAATTTTTTATGGTTTTACTTAAATAAAAGTTTTAAGTTGTGGTGAACTAATATATAATTTTAAAGGCTGTCGAGTACTTTCCGAGTGGCATGGATTTAGTCAAAAATTGCGAAAATAATTTTGGTAGTGGTACAGAAGAATGCGCGCGAGCGACCGTCAGAGCTCTACTTGCCTGGTATACAACGAAAGCCATTTTGGAGATTTTCAAAGAACATTGCCCATCTTTACTAGTAGCTTACAGGGGTAATTAAAACTTTTCATTTCATTATCATCAATGAAATTTGATTGTTTTCATGCATCTATTTTTGTATTTGTTCTTTTCAGAAATAGAAATGCCCACCGTTATAATTTTAGCAAAAATGGAATTGAGAGGATTCGGCATTAATATGAGCTCTTTGCGAGAACTCACTACAGTCATGAAAAACGATTTAATTCGCATAGAGGAGAAAGCTTACAGTCTTGCTGGTAGAAAATTCAATTTTAATTCGTCCAAAGAAGTGTCGGCGGTAATTAATTTTAAATAAAAACAAGCACAAACTTTTTAGTCGACTTCACTTACTGAAATTTATACTTTATAAACAGGTTCTTGGATTAAGTAGAAGGGGGAGGGCCTGCACGAATAAAGCTGCCTTGAAATCGTGCGAGAATCCGATTTCCGATCTTGTTACGATGTGGCGGAAACTCAAGAACGTAGAAACAAAAGTATGATATTGTTTGTGGTTAGTTAATTTATTTTATTAGGATTATAAATTAATATCTGCTAATTACAGATTATATTTCCCTTACTACACTTTGAAATGAAAAATGATCGGATACACGGAACTTGCATTACTCATACAGTTACGGGGCGCGTCTCGATGCACGAACCAAATTTACAATGTATTCCTCGAGACTTTAAATCAGACATAAGGTAAGAATTTGCAACTATAAAATATATACAATGTCCGTGTAAAAGTTAAATATTTTTTTTTACAGTGGCTGTATATTCAGCACCCGTATGGCATTTGTACCGTCAGAAGGCAATGTCATGCTGTCTGCTGATTTTTGTCAGCTAGAACTTCGAATTCTAGCTCATTTTTCTCAAGATCGTGTTCTATGCAATCTTTTTCACCAGGATGGTGACATTTTCAAAAATATTGCTGCTAGGCTCAATAAAGTTACAGAAGAAATGGTACTTACTACTTACCTTTTAAGCTTCAATTAATAAAATTTTTGAAAATCATTCCAAAATTAGTATAATAAATTTTAACTTTAAGGTGAACGACGAAATGCGTCAACGAGCTAAGCAACTGTGTTATGCCATGATCTATGGGATGGGATCTAAATCGTTAGCGCAAAGTCTTTCTGTCACTGAATCCGAAGCCAAAGACTACCTTGAGACATTTATGGGAACCTATAAAGAAATTCGAGTGTGGCTCAATGCTGTTTCCGAAAAAGCACGCATTGACGGCTACGTTTCAACTTTAATGGACCGTAGACGCGTACTGTCAGGTATCAAGAGCGAAGTTCCAGCAGTCAAAGGTAAATCTTGTTAAAAAATTTTTTTTTAACAGTTTCGTTGCGTAAAGCGCTTTTTTTCTTACAATTATTATTATTATTATAGTATCATGGGCTACGACTGTTTATTAAATGTTACTTATTTTCATACAGCACAAGCAGAAAGGCAAGCAGTAAATACCAAAGTACAAGGCTCTGCAGCTGACATTACGAAGAAGGCAATGGTGCTAATAGAAAACAAATTGCGAGAAAAGTTTTCGTGCTTACCAGTGACTTTTCCCACAACGCAGACACAGACACAGACCAGAAGGGGATTACGAAGTAATTATGGGGACTGGAGACCGAGAGGTGCCTACTTAATACTACAGTTGCACGACGAATTACTCTACGAGGTGAATTCGAACGATCTCGAAGTGGTGGCTAGAATTGTTAAGGAATCGATGGAGAATGCTTTTAAGCTAAGCGTGCCCTTGCCGGTTAAAATGCGAGTCGGTTCAGCTTGGGGTAATCTTGAGGAATACGAAATTCAAGATTAACTTATTTGCTTGAAGGTAAAACATACGTAATTAGGAATTTTTTATTATAATTTAATCGTAGGTAAAACAATTATTTACTTTTTGTTACGGTGATTAGTTTTTAAGAGCTAAAACATTAGGATATTTATTATTTATACGTATCTAATTAAAAGGAAAACTATAGTCATAATTTTATTGTGGCCAAAACTCGACTTGGCTGGTTTTACAGGTTTTTTTTGTTTTTTAATCGTGAAGTAATCAATTTTTACACTGTTGCAATAAGTTTTTATGAATCAAATCAATAACACTTTATTCAAAAGTGTTCAATTTATAGAACTAATTTGATTTAATCAAATATAATCGTACATATTGTAAATTTTAATGTAAAAAACTTTTTATTTATATAAATGCATTTCAAAAATTGAGAAATAAAACATTATAAAATTTTTAATTCATATACATAATTTTTTATTTACTACACTTATGAAGAATGAATACACGCAAAAATACCATAGTAATCTTCACTATCGAGTTACGTTACCCAGAATAAATTAATAAATATATTACCATTTTTATTTAAGCAAAAATAATCTCGAAAATAATTTGATCAAACGTAATTCAGTTTAGTTAAAACATTTTTGAACAATGGAAATAACAGCAATTTTTGTACAGAATGCATGCCTGTCGTTAGCATTTTTTAAATCCCAAACGATCTATGTCCTTATGAAGGATACAGTGGTACGTTATTTATAAATACAAAGTAATAAAAATTTACGAATTCGTTTCCGTTGCCCTTGCATTATTATAGCTTGATTTTTTTTCGTTGATGGCTGTACCAACGATATCTTGGTAATATTCACCAAAGACACTCCTATTATGCGAAAATAATATAGCAAATTGAGCTGCTACATCAGTCAGTTCTTTTTGAAGTGGTGACAGTCCAGGCGGAATCTGCTGTGGGGCTGCAGTTTGTGATACGATGATATTTCTTAAGAAATGTCGTATTCTCGATGCTGAGAAAAATAATGTCCACGATTAATATTCAAAATGTACTTTATTTTTTTAAATAAAAATTTTTAATATTACTTACTGACGAGTTCGCGAATTTTATGCTCAGGTTTGGGAAGTTTTATCATTTGATTTTCCAAAATCGATAATACATTTTGTTCTGGAATGTCAGCAACATTTGATAAATTTGGAGACGCCTTCATAATATCTGCTTTTACCTGAACTAAGATATTTGGCATGACTTCTTCCAAATCTCTAGAAACCAGTTTTTTAAATGCATGATTTATTAAAGAACCGATTTTAAGTAATTAAAATATTTTCTCACTTGTTTGACACAGTAGTATTCAGCAAAACTAAAATATGTTCCTTTATTTCTTGTTTGCATGGATCAGTTAGTGAACACGAAAGAGGTTTCAAAAGTAATAAAATTGAGCCAGTGATAGCCAATCTACTAGTCTTATTACGTAAATCTAGTAATCTTCCCTGATCTAGCATTAAAGTCTGGAAGAAAGTAATAGCCATTTAATTTTAATTGGAGGTAAATTTTCAAAATACACCTAGGCATAATGAGTGTACTTCTGCATTTGGTGAAGAGTCAAATTCTAACAAGTCCAAATAAGCTTCAGCCAAAAGGGAGTGTGTTATTTTCTTAACAGAATTGATATCTGTAGTAGCTGAGTTTATTACTTCTTGATTTAGGTGCTGCAATAACCATTTCTTAGTGTAAAAGAGTCCATCTGTTTGAATTTTCAAAAATTCAGCAAATTTTTTCTTTTCATATTCAATACTCGATGCAACTATGTTCGGTCTTATCATGTTAATTGTGAAATTTGCCAAATCCAACTTCATCAATTGAAGAACTTCCATTATTCCCTTGAAAGTATCGATTACATCGGTACATCTTTTTATTTCTTCGATTTTTTCGTCTCTCACGGGAGCGCAGATTTTTGCCATTATAGAAGTTACATATTGAGAATAATGCGAAAAATCTAAAACACCATTTTCTGCTTGCTGTTTAATCAGGTCAACATCAAGAACTTGATTGATTGTTTCTTTTAATCTAGCATTATGTGGAAGAAGTAGTTCATCAAGAGACTAGTGAAAAATGAAATTTGTCTATGTTAATGAATTTTTAAAATATTAAAATAGGAGTAATCAAATGATTATACCTCTTTAATTTCTCCTAATAATCTCAAAGCTTGAGTAAACACTGGTGGTTCTTGTGACAGTTCATTAGCCAAAATATCCCAGAATACTTTGTGCATGATTTCTTTGACTTTTTTATGCAACGTATCGTCTTCTGGCTCCAGTTTGTCTATTTTAAAATTTTTGTCAACAGCGATTTCGTGCGCTAGAGCCATGTTTTGCATGCCTTTTGCTGCTTTTATAATTTCCTCTAAAGAAACAAATTTTGGAGGCGATGCAGCAACCCAGCCATCCAACATAAAGCTCCGAGCCCTATAAATATTTTTTTTTTTTTTCAGCATCACTCATGGCTAAAGTAGTAATGGTGCAACTAAAAAAAAATCTTTATTTTACCTTTCAAGGCTATCTTGATCATGATTTTCTAATGACGGGGAAGCACAATTGATTGCTGCAGAGCCAGAAGCTTCAGCAGCTTGACACTTTTGTTCATCATTCTTCATTTCTTCACTATTAAAATCAACGGAAAAATATTACTGAGTTTTCTGTATGAACTTCACAACAGCCAAAAACTTATATAACAAATTGAAAAAAATACCTGTCAGGCATATTTGTTGCTATATTTACAAAAAATTCAACAGACTTTCACAAGACACTCTTACATCCAGTAGTGTGCATCCAGCAAAATCTACAGGTTGACTAATTTTGCTGATGCCAGGGAGTGAGTAAAAATGAGGTCAAACTGCATCTATTAAAAGAACACCCACTGTGCCTTTGAACATAAACACACTTGTCCGTGGTAACTTCCTCAAACCTGTTTTTCCATTTTTGTCAATGATTTTATCAAAGAGGAAGTCATTGTCTCTTGATGGTCACTCACCATTCATGGTAATCCTCTTATTCATACCTGCAATTATAGAGATGATGATGACATTGAACTTTTCAAGGCTATGATAAATCTCCCACTCAAGTTCTTGACATTTGTGCAGAACGCTTCTCAAAGTATACTGCTAATTTTCACAATTTGTTATACCTTTCAAGAAAGGCGTAAGGATGACTCAAAAAATGAAAAACAAAAATTTAAAAAAAAAAAACGTAACAACTCCTCTGACAATTTCATCAGCCGAAATAAATTTGACAACAAAAACTAATACTTTCCTTCCAGCACACGTAGGCTTTAAAAACGTAACAAAAAGAGTTTCCATTTACACGTTCACATTATAATGCAATATATCAGCGAAGGATCGCGAGAACCATTATAAATATACGTGTACATATAGGTATACAAACTACGACGGAAACCTTTGTTATGCGTTCTCTTTGACTTCTTTCCTTTCTGCTCGTTCACAACACACAACAGACGACGCGCTCCAAAACGTGAAACGCATTTTTGCTATATATATATATGTGTGCATTACACATATATATATATATGACGAATACATGCATGCATTGGACTTGACACTTGATTTTTTAAATCTTCGTGCAGCAGCGACGAAGGACGAGGACGCTAAACACTTTAAATTTTGAAGGAGAGAGAGAGAAAATGCTCGTAACTACAGCTGCAGTCCGTGATGATCGTGATTCACGGTATCTTTTTTTTTTCGTTTTCTGTTTCTTCGGTTTATTAGTCCTGTCTCTGCCGCATCGTGCATTTCTCTCTCCTCCTCTTCTCTTGAGAGTGGCCGATTTTTTTCGATACGGCTAAAGGCGACGGACTTTTCGATCGGCAATGACAATGAAAAATCGTCTTTTTTGTTTTATACACACATGCTATATAGATACGCGCGTGTCGAGTGTCAACTTTTTTTCTTTTTTCGATGAAACTTTGGTATCGAAGCGTCATCTCGACCCTGTCCGACTCAAAATTATATTCAAGCGTTTATACACTTACACGTATACTCATATTTTTTGAAAATCTTTCGATAAACACAAAGATGATCCGGGCAACATTGGAGCTTGGCTCTCAGGTGTCGTTGCGCCAGGCACTCCTGTTCGTTGTGTTTTTTATGGTGTTGCTCTCCCTGCAGCAGAACGAAGCCAGCCGAAATTCGCCAGGTTGTTGATTTTCGCCTGTTTGCGCGATTTTTCTTTTCTTTCTTCACGGAGATCTGATTAAAGTTTCTCAGTTGTGTATCAGTATTGACTGTTTGCGTGATATATTTGACAAAGCAAGTACCTTTTGACAGAATCTTTGAGAAGATAGAAAACTCTCATCCGGGACTTTTGAAGAAAAATATGCTTGCCAAGTGTTTGGGAAGCCGTGGAGTGTCGGTACTTCGGCAAAGAGTCTATGGTAATTCAAAAACAAAGAAAACCATGAGCACAGTGGGTCAATGTGAGATCAAATGCGGCGATGCGCCAGACCCGTGTCAACCTAAATGTAAAATGGACGAGGTAGCATCTCCCGAGGGTTCTTGGTCGGAAAATTACAAGCGCCACGATGCCCACGCCAACAAAATATTGTACCTAGGACTATTTATGTTTGCTTCAACCGCGATTGTGGTAAGTTAAGTTCGAATCGTAGAGTTGCAAGGAACAAATCATGTTCAAAGTAATATATAAATAACTTTTCTCTCATTTAAGTTGAAAAACACCGAGGTTGCCAAAGGATATCCCGAAGTGACGTTGTTCTCGTTCTCCATTTAACGCGTTCCTCTTCAAAATTTGTTTCTTTTGTTAAGATTAAATTAAAAGAATCATCACCAGTACACGATTATTCAAACATACTTTTAATTATAAATTCTTATCGTGTTACTTATACAATAATTATTAAATAAAACAATAAATTGACGCTTAAGCAAAATCTTTGTTCTTCCGCAAAATGACAAAGCCTTCCATAATGGGTGTAAGAGGTATGTATTCCTCGGTAGCCAGTTCGGCGCGCTCACCGTACGCCAGTAATACTGGCGTTGTGTGAGTTTGGAAACCAGTGATTGTTTTCGGATTACCGGCCTGGCCGACCACGTCGACCGCCATACCAACGCGCACTGGTACCTGCAGTGGGACAAGCTCCTCGTCAAACGTCACAAGCATACGCGGTTGTATTGCCGTTGCCAGTGTGTACAGAAGGTAATGAGATCTGCCCAGGATTACTGTAAAATAAAATTGATTGTTACAATTATTTACGTTGTTGGGTAAAACGGAATGGTCCCCAAATAGTTATTAGAATAAAACGTACTATTTTTGACATCCAAAAATCCAACAAGAGTCGCCAAAAGACCGGCAAGTGCGACTGGACTGAGAAGTTGTCTATCGCTGTGGTAGGGCGAAAGGGTCATTGTACCCTTGCCAAGATGAATGAGACCCTGAGCTATTCTGACCATGAACAGATTGTTTGGATCTTTTGCGTGGTATTGAGCCAGCTGTCTGAGCATGGCTGCGAGTTTGGAGTTGTTGGTGCCCGCTCCGACTAGACCCATTGCAAATATCGCGTTGTGCGCAACCTCGAGATCACTGTCGTGCGAAAACTTGGACAGAGTATCAAGGATGTTGAGTTTGGGATTCGACACGGAGATGAGTCCGAGAGCCAGAGGTACCGATCGTCGGATGACGGGCTCGCAATAGCGCAGCAAGTGTCCAAACGTGCGGTAGGCCATTTCCGCACCGATCTCCTCACCCATGGCTATGAGAGCGATACCCAAAACGGCGATAGCTTGCCTCGAGCTCAGGTCCTTATCCTTTTCTTCCTTTTTCTCGTCCTTCTTATCTTTGTCTTTGCTGTTGGTCTTCTCCTCTTTTTCGTTAGAAGGCTCGCAGTGCTCTGAGCAGATGTGCAGCAAGTGTTGGATTTTTAGAACATTACCAGTTCCTGCATAAGCACATGCCTCTACCAGCGTCATCGACATAGATTTGAAGGGCTCAGGAATAACCTCGAGTGCGGCGATTATTGCCTCTGCAGCCTCCTGCTTACCCAAGAAGCACAGACCCAGACCAAGAGGAAGGAAACGCGCATACGTGTCCTTTAGTTCGGCTTCAGTCTTTTCCATCAGCGTGTGCATGATGGCTGTCGTGACGGTGGCATTGCACGAGCCAACTGCTACCATACCCAGAGCCAAACCGGTTATACCAATGACTTCCCGATTAGACTTGGGATCGCTGAGAACTGGTATCAAAAGACTTAATACCGATTCTCTATTCGATCCTGTGTAAGACAGACCAAGACCCAGAATAGCGCCGATACGCATCGTGTTGCTGTTGTGCAGTACATAGTCTGAAAGCAGAGCCAGAGCTGGTTCGCATTCGTTTCTCACTCCACAGTTGACGATACCGCACGCCAAAAGAGCTCCAGATTTTATGTAGTCTTCCGACGAGTATAGGTACTTGTCGATCGGAGTCAGACCGCCGTCGACGTCCCACAGCAAAATAAGACCGAGCGAGGCAGTGGCGCTTAGCATACCATGCTCCTTGTTTTTGTAGAGCCACTTGTTGCCGTCGTCGATGAGAAGCTTGTCATGGCCAAAGGCAGCATTGACGAAGCCGTTTACGAAGCTAGCTGCGAGATTTTGACGGGCAGAGTCGACCTGACCCCCGCCAAATGGTGGCCTCGAGTTTTCAAGGTGAGACTTGTACACGTCTTCTGGCGTCTTGGCTTCCATTATGTCTAATTCACGGGCGAGACTGAGAAAATGATTGTTGAGCTGAGAATTGGTCATGATCTCGACGAGGTCATCGTACCAGTCTAACGAAATGGGCAGTTCGAGGAAAATTTGCTGACGACCAAGCATAAAGGCTAGTTGCTTTTGAACCGATCTGTAAATATTCGTCTTATTAATGACACGGGCATACTTAATACTTTGGATTTTATAAAAAAAAGTTATACTTACAAATCAGTACAGTTAGTGAATATATCTTCGATGAGAGGCAAGTCGTTCAGCTGCATAGCAAGCCTCATAGCTTGTGGATACTGATTGAACTTTTTGTAGAGTTTTAATGCTGCATGTAAAAGAGTGGTGTTCTCTGGATCGGCAACGTACGGGACGCAGTTGGTAAGATAAAGGCACACCCTCTGATAAGCACTTTCATCAACATATTGTTCTAACATTTCTAAACGATCGATTTCCATGAGTAAATCGCAAGCTTCGGTTTCGGCATTGTGAGCCATATTATAGGGCACGATTTCGTGGACTAATCCAATCAACTTTTGAATCAACTCCTCCGAGCCTTTGATGGAGAACTCCTCCCATTCAGCAGTCAGTTCTCCGGACAAATGTCTGACATATTCGTGACCCCATTCACCAATGTTAAGAGCTGAGCCTTTAGAATGATAAATGGAAAAAGAATTGATAATCAACAACAATAAAGGTATGACACGAAGATACATTTACCAAAACTTACCAGTCATTCTATATTTTAGACACTCCCTATTCTCGCCCATAGTCATGGCCAAAACAGAGATTATATCGGAGCAAAACTCTTTGCACTTTGGATCCGTAAGCTTGTCATAAACAGCTTTCATTGTGTCATAATGAGGACGCATGAATTTAAGGGGTTTGGGTACGCTCGTCATCGACGTCGTTGACGACCTGATTTGCGTCCTGAGTGACTCCAGTGTATTAAAATACATCTTCTCGTTGGAGTCTTGTAACTGTTCTACATATTGGTTCAGTTCTTCTTGCAGCAGTCTGTCTTCCTCCGACTAGAAATACCCAAGAATTGATTAATAAATCGAATAAAATAGCACAGTGTAAACAACCAAATACAAACGTCGGATAAATACAAGCTTTGTCAAAGGAGCTTACCATATCGTTTTTATCTTCCTCCTTCTCATTTTTCTTCTCAGCCTCTGGTTTGGGAGTTTCGGTTTTCGTGCTATCGGGCATTTTTACAGCTCACGAGATTATCTTGTTATTTTTCAATAAACAATGAGTGCTGAAAATACTGGAACTCCTTATTTCTTAGGTTAGGAAAGCGTGAGTTGCCACTCTCTCTTCGTGTGATGGTACTTGGCCAGCCAATCAGTTTACAATCAGCACTATCTAGCGATGACAAACTAAAATAGTACCCCTTTCTATATTTTCGAGAAATTCCCTAGCCTAGTAAGGTTTAGAGGATTTCAGCTAGTGAATTAATTTCTTCCAAAAGAAATATGGTACTTTTTTTAGTTTGGAATAAACCTCGCTAGATGGCGCTGATTGTAAATAAAAAAATTATACACGGCGACGGGGCCGACTCCCGACTCTCTCGCACGATGGACGCAGAATATCGTCTGCATTTCAAAAAAGTATGAGTTTGACAGTGTAAATTAAATACTTAGTTGACGTTTGAAAATTAATATTCCGAGGCAGATTAAAATGTTGATATCACGATTCGTGACAAGACGCGCGAAAAATGCTTACTTTCATCAAGTGCCGAGGTGCCTGGCCACCCAGGCAAAGCCAAAATCAGAAGTCATGGATTTTAAGAAGCAAAGGTTACCAGCAGCCCAGCCAAAAAAGCCAAAAAGGGAACCCTTCGCGAAAAATCTGTTTTTGGGAAAATTCGATTACGAATTCTTGGCATATCCTGAGCCTCAGCGTTGGGACAGGTAGGGCTTTTCATTGTTTGTGACAGAAGACTTTCTATTGCTGTATTATTTTTTTGGTTCAAATTGTGTGATTATTTTTTTTCTTGACATTATTTTTCAACTACACATCCTCTAAGTAGGTGACCAGAGCCTTACTTACGCATGCCGTTCTATTTCAATCCAAAAGTGTGATTGTTAGGTTGTCTTCTAAAAGTAAATTACAGATAAACTGGCTTACATACGCTCATATTTTGCAGATGGAATGAATTTCAAGAATGGATAATGCCTCTCAAAGAATACATGAATACAGTGAATCAACAAGAGTTTGAGAGCTCAAACAAAATACCTCCTCATGTGTTGCAAAGTTTACGAGAGATGGGAATATTTGGGGCTAGAATACACGAAGACTACAAGGGTCAGAATCTCTTGCAATCGGAGTTCATGCAAGTTCTCGAAACGGTTGGTAAAATACCCGCCCTTGGTTTTTTCCTTTTAAAACAGGGTGTCCCAGCAATTGACATTTTCAACAAGTATGGCACAGTTGAACAAAAATTCCAATACCTACCTAAAATAGCCACAGGCCAATCTTTGGCTAGTGTCGCGTTACACGAGGCTACAACCGGCCCCATGGCCAGTGACATGGAGACCACAGCTATCCTTGACTTAAACGAAGAGTACTGGCTACTAGACGGAGAAAAAATCTTTGTGCCTAATACCGACCTCGCAGATGTGTTTATAGTATTTGGACACGCGATGCATAGTGGCAGTTTAGAAAAGCGTCCTGAAATCGTTTCTTCCTTCATCATTGAACGTGATACCGAGGGTTTAACTGTCATTGACAGTCCAATGGAGACATTGGGACTAAAGGGTTTCAACTGCAGTAAAATAATTTTAAAAAACGTCAAAATACCCAAAAGCAATATGTTAGGACAAGTAGGCGACGGAGCTCGACAGATTGTAGACATGTTCACCAACAGCCGGCATTTTGTCGCCGCACTTATGATTCCACTGCTCAAGAACCACGTGAACCTTTTGACTAACTACTGTTTGCACAAAAAGTATTTCGAAAAGCCACTTCATGACGCGACTTTTGCTCAAAGTGCCATTACCGAGCTCAACTACACAATTTACGCGATCGAGAGCGTACTTTACTTGACGACTGCTATGATGGATTTGTACGAGGATCAGGATGTCCACCTCGAGTCAGCCCTCGTCGAACAGTTTGCTGTTCAAGAGGCTTTGAAAGCATTGCACGAATCCATGTGGCTGGTTGGACCAAGTGTTTGCTCCACTATAATGCCTTATCAGCAGATTTTAAGAGACGCATTTACATTGGCAAACTTTGAGACACAACTGCACGACACAAAAATTTATTCTGGCCTGTTGGGTCTTACTTATTACGGACAAGAGTGCGTCGAGGCCATTCGTAAAATTAGGAATCCCTTAATGTACCCGAAATTCTTATATCAGAGGTTGTTCAAAAACAACTTGATCAATCTGAAACTCCACGAGTACCTGCACTTGTCGCTGCGTGATTGTACAAACTTTGCTGATGGTTCTATATACATTCTAAAAACACAAACAGAGCAACTGCTCGTACGCTACGGTATTGAAAGTAGTGAGCAGCACCGCGATCTTCAGCGACTCAGTGACATAGTTTCGTATATTTATAGTCTCGTTGGTGTGCTGGGCAGAGCTTCGAGATCTTATTGTATTGGGAATAGATTTTCAGAAATTGAGATTATAATCAGTCGACTTCTTGCATTCAGATATCACCAGCGAATAAAAACACTTTCCGAAGACCTGAACAATGGCAAGTTTATCAACGGCGACCACGCGAGTCAGGAACTGTCGCTCAAGAACTTTGAGAATAAAGCTTATTACATGAGCCATCCATTGCAAAGGAATTATTAATTTTTTTTTCGTTAAATAATAACGAAAATGTATATTGTACATGAACAGCCCTTAATATGCATTTTTTCATTTGCATCAATATTATTATTTTGATTTGATCAGTACTAGCTGGCTGAGGTCAAAGTAAATTTTCACGATGAAGAAATGCACGTTCTTTACGTATTTTTAGTTGACACATACAATGTCATTAGATAACGTTAAGAAGTTTTGCATTTTCCACATGCGAAAATTCGCATGGGAGCGGTTACTTGTAAACGTGAATAAAGTTGTACATATTCGAATTAAAATATATTGTTTGTTAAATAAACTTGCAAGCTTTTCATTCAATAATCGTCATTTATTTTACGTCTCTGTCAGTATCAGGTCGCTATTGCATTTAATGATATCACTTTGCTTTACTAACATTTATTACGCTTTGTCAAAGCGAGTTGAGAGTTGAAATTGACGAGAAATGCACAACATTATTAAGTTAAAGAAACATACATTTATAAAAATTTCTTGCTTTGGAATTAATAAGTGCTACATATATCTATATTGATGTACTTTCTTTTGATTTTTAAAGTATTCAAGAAATAAAAATAATCTCTGCATTTTTTTTTATAACGCAAAAATTTAAGCTAATTTATCGACATAATACTAAATTTATATCCAGGAATGACAGTACCCAATCACTTGTATGTAATATAATTTTTGTAATTGGTTAGAGTTGCATGAATCATCCCACTTGAATAGCACAAATTAGTTAATTATATGTCTAAAGTTGAAAAGTTAAAAATTTTCGTAAGATCTAACTACCATACTAACATCAACAAAAACATTAGTAATATCAAAAGAAAATGCACTTTACAAGCATAGTGTACGTTTATACAAATAAAACGAATCTACGAAAAAAAAAATTAACAATTTTTAGCCACGGAGAAAAACTCGTCCAACTCTATGAATCACGAGTAATGAGTGTGATTACACACGCCAAACGATGGACGGTACCTATCTCCTCTACATTATTTAACATTTTATTCTACGAAAAATTGATTACGTGTCGTTAAAATTTTCATTACCGTCTCTATTTTATACAAGATTATCAACTTTGAAATCCTCTAGATCACCAACAACAACTACAACTTCTCAGCTTGAACAATCACATGCTCTTCTCTGTAGGAATCCGTTGAAGACCAGCAACTCCTCGCGCAAGTGAATATTAGAACCGTACCAAACTCGAGCTGGAAGTTACGCTCACTTCGAGAGCTAAGTTTAAGCTTGGGTATGAGAGTAGGTAGTATTTGAACTTCAAAAATCATCTCGTCTCCACAATGCCTACACCTGCCAATGCAGCCACCCATTGGGTACAACAGAAGTGGCGCTAAATTATCCCTTGCGTACCTTAAATCACAGTAACATACAATCATATATAATGTCGCTTTAATCATTTATGATTTCTCGCTTATACCTACAAATTTCTGTATAGTTACCTCAAAACTTGCCCAGGATTTTTTTGTATCCTGCTAACAAAGTTATGGAACATTTCATCTCCGTGCTTGGGAATGGTTTTTTCGTATTTTTCCTTCTCACCACCATCATAGTTCTTTGCACAGTCATCCATGGTATCTGCTTCGCTATCAGGATTAGCTCGCTGATACTCCAAAAACAGATCTCTCACGTGCTGCGTTACCTGGGACTCGTCGTACTCCTCGTCCACCGAGACAAACATCTCGACGAAACTCAACTGCTTCTTGGCGACAGCTGAGGCTTCGCCGTGCTGTAGCACAGGTGGTGGTGTCACTTCTTGCAATAGACTCAACAAATCGCAATGCGGCTGTATCGGTGTGTCGATGCAGACGACCTCGCTCTCCTCGCCTTCAATTTCGGCCGAGGCGTGAGGTGAATCTAGCCGACCGACCGCACCAACACCTACTGGCGACTCCACGCTTGTTGGGCTGTAAATAATACGAATCGTTAAATCGAAATCAGCTTCTTTTGCGCACTGCAGAGAAAATTGAGTACTGATCGTCTATACCTGTTTGCATTAGGATCATCAACTTGTAGTTCCGAGAAATCAGCTCTGAGTTCATCCTCGTAGTAGGTATTGTTAGTTTTTTTGTTGAACAGACCGAATTTGTCGGCTTCGGTTGCAAATAAATTGTTACCATTTCTCTCTGAAATATTGTCATTCCAGTTGTTATCATCCCAATCATCCGCCTCTGCCAGCCAACTGGTCGCACTAGTATGTACCATTGTTGGGCAGGAACTTGAATCTGTACAGCTCGTAGTTTGTTCCATCGATTGAACTCTTAAGCATGTCCAGCTTTCATTTTGATTCCAACAATTTGGATTTACACAGGCAAATATGTACAATGTCCTGTGATATTTAGAACCCTCTAGTGGAGCATATATTTGCAATGTCAACAGCTGATGCAAACCACACAGCCTGCATTGTGGTGCATTTAATTTTATTTGTTCGCGAGGCCAGTCCTAAAATTACAAACAAGATTTGTGTTAAATGATCAAATAAAATATATTATTCATCTGAATCTAAGCAAGTAAATTTATACTTTAATTTTTTACCACATTGATCAAAGCAATACGAAATGAAACATTTAAAATCTAGAATAACTTACCGGCCTGCCTCCAATCTTGTTTGTTGTGAAATTAACGAGACTGCGGTGCTTCTCGACGATAAACTCATCCTCGTATCCCAGGTAAACCCTCGTCCGCTTGGCATTTTCGGCCATTTAGGGGTAGACTTATAAAAAACAGTCGCACAAAAAAAGGGTGCAAAAATAAATTTTTGTAGTCACACGAAAGCTATCGAGTCTCTATTTTTTTCATGTATACTCAAGAGGATAAAAAACACAAAAGAAGACTATAAGTACAATGATGGTGATGCAGCTGAGCGAAGCAGGTATGTACAGCTGATATGGACAGATGCAGGCTGGGACTCGGTATTGGGGTCTTTGCAACGCTTGCGCCCTGAAATCGGAGCTACCCTTATCGATTTTTCTCTCAATTGTAATGTATAGAGTGTATACATCAGTAATATCAGTATAGCTTGCGTGGGTTGAATTAATCTGTACGCGCACGCAATGATAATTTATTATATTTATGCCTACTTGAGGAAGAGATCAGTATACTATATTCTTTGAACCATAAGTAGTAGTGCAGTTAAATAATTATATAGTTTGCATGGAATTCTTGTTACGAACGTTAGACAAGTTGTTGAGGGATATAAGTATATTTTTTTTTCTGCATGCATCAGATAGATGAAAAATGTAAACAAATTAATGAAGCAGACGATGCGGAAGATTGTAAATATAGGAGATACATTTTTCTTGTATCAAAAATAAGTACGATTACTGCATGATTAAAAAAAAATATGATACATAAAATATTTAACCATACACAAAAGAAGTTGAATACGATGATTCGTTACCCGTATATATTTTAGTTGTTATAAAAATGGTATTAATAAAAATATGCATATTTCGAAATTTTTTGAATTTCGCGCCAAGCAGACGACAAATTGATTGAGAGCAGAAGATTTTAATTTTTACTGCTGTAAAAAACACCACACCGCAACCTTAATAAAATATCAACACACATTATTATAAATGACGCTCATTTTAAAAAACTTGCAGAAAGATGATTTTGTAATATGTGAAAAGTGTAACAAATAAGGATTTATTTTGAGATTGATCTCAATCATACATATTTTATTAATAGTGCCTGATATCTCGGGTATTATAAAGAGTAGTATTATAGTACGTACGAGTTGTTTCCAAGTATTGAGCAATTGCATTATTATATAAACTTATAAAATTAACAATATTTGTAGAAGAGCTAAGCACGATGGGCAAGTCGATGTCGAGGGTGACACGACCCTTGAAAAATTGGAATATCGAATCAAGAGCACATAAAGCCATTTCCAAAGAAAAACGACCATCTGCTCCTACTTTCGTTTCTGTTCACAAACAAATAGAATTAGTTAACGAGTGTTGGTTTTCATTTTTTTTTTTTTTTCAGTTCTTCTGAATTTTCATGTATTCCCATATTATAGGGTGTTTTTTTTTCTTGTTTATCTAGTGGAACCAGATTACAAAGAACGTGCTTCTAAAAAACAGAAGGACTTGGATGAAAATCTGAAGAAAGTTTTTGTCACATCTACCGAGGTAAAATGTGTTGTTTGAAAAATAACTATTCGTCTATTTTTGTGCCAACATATTCGAATGTATTCTATTACAGGGTAACACAATTGACTCCAGATATAATCCTGATAAACCACTGCCAAAGGACAATAAGCTATGTGAACCATTCGAGTATGGGTTCTATGAGCCTGAACCAAGTAGAATACCAACTGGTAAAATAACTTTGAGGCAAGCAATAGAATTCATTGGTAAACATAGCAAAGATCCAAAAAATTACACTGCAGAAAAAATTGCAGAGGAATACAAACTAGATGCAATAGTGACAGGTATAGTAACTTAACTTCATTTAAAAAATCTCGATAATAACGATTTTATCTTATTATTGTTAGTGGATAATTCATTAAAATCGAAAAAGTAGTTGATGAAATTCAACAATTTTTATAACGAGACCAATTTGTTTTACAATGTATAACATGGCACTGACATTGTTTTAATTATGTTTTAGCTGATATTCTGGAATTCTATAGACTTTTTAATACCTTCCAAGAAGAACCTGATTCTAAGGATAACACTCTTGCTCTGCCCATATCTATGAAATCGGGAATAACAATAAAATTCAGTAGAAATCCGGGTAAAGTAATTCCAGATAATCATTTTGAAGAAGATCCTAGTACTGAGGAGATTGACGAGAGGGAGAAGAAAATCGAAGATTCTGTAGAGATATTTGATAAACAAAAAGCTCTAGAAGAACAAGAAAAGAAAAAACTTATCAGTGAAAAAATTGTAGAAAAGGTGTAAATATCTTGAACTGGGAACTATTGTTGAACTATATAATTCTTTCAATAGTTTGTATATATAATTTATATAAATATGTTTGCTCAAAAATAAAGTTTTTTTTTTCTTTTTTAAACCTGTGTTTATAGCTGCCATACACTTTGAAAAACTAAATCAACTCCTTTCGTTAATTCAATGTATTATGTATAATAAAAGTGCTATAATTATTGGCTATTTTGTTTATGTTCATTATCTCAGAAAAAAAAAACGAGAAAATAACATTTGGTCACCATTTTTGCCAAACATTTTTCATTAAGTGCGTTTACAACATTTTTTGCAAATTGTCACAAGTGAAAGGTACTATCAGAATTCAATTTACCGTGTCAATATGAAGAGTTTGATTAAAAAACGACTGATGAAGTAGTATTTTTCTGCAAATTTTTAAAGTTAATGAAAATAATTTAGAAATACCGTTTGCAGGTAAGGTAAATTATAGAGGCCACTGCCCGCGAGAGCACACCTCTGACCTCCGACTGCAGTCTGCAGTGTGTGTGATTATATATATGTGTCAGATGCCAACAAGTTTAATTTAGATGTACTCTTTGAAGTTCTGAGGGAATAAGTTTTTATTTTTTTATGAGAAAAACATTATTCTTGTTGCAGTGAGATTCGGTTAACGCTGTGTCTATTCGCACCAAATCCACGTAATTACGTGGATATAAGGTTAGGAATTTTAAAGAAATTTAAGAAATTTAAGAAATTAATGTTAAATTAAATTTTTTTTAATTTTAAATTTTTTTGCTTAGACCATCTCGATCGCGCTTATTACAATCGTGCGGGAATTTCGCCGCTTGACGGGAGCGAACTATTAGGGGCTTGGCCACCTGGCGAGTAGAGCCTGAAGCGCGAGAGATGTGAGACGCCACAGATATATACATATTTATTTATGTATCAGACAAGTAAAAATAAAAATTGTGCTTTCATATACCTACACACACATGTTCTCTTATAGGCACGCATAAGCTTACGCGGACACGTAATCTTCAAAAGACGTCAGGTTACAGATAAGTTGCTTACTTACAGCCACGTCAGCTTACGGGCACGTAAAATCTGAAAGCATCGATTAACTCTATGCTCAAGCTTACGCATACGTGACTTATAGGAACGTAAAAACTAAAAACATCCAATTCACTTTAATTTCCACGTAAGCTTAGGGTGAGATTACATGGAGTCTGGCAGTCTGCAGACTGGCAGAATCGCGCTAAGTTTAAATTATGTTTAAATTATAACATCTCAGAATAATTTAGTAAAATAAAGAAAAAATTGTAATTATTGTTATAACCGAATAAAGGCTTAGTTACAATCAATTTCATTAACAATAAAACGTGTCAAATATTATTTTATAACTTTTTTTATAGATTTATGTTAACATCGTACAGTCGGTCAGTAGGGTCACTGATGCAACCTGCTATGTATAACAATATGTAACTGTGACAAAACGTTTTTCGTCGCCTTTTTTTTTCGTAAATATTAGTTAATACAGAAATGCAAATGTATTACGATAATTATTTCTTTGCTTACGTAACAGGTTTTAAATATTAATATTGAAACATATTTTAAACTTAGCGCGATTCTGCCAGTCTGCAGACTGCCAGACTCCATGTAATCTCACCCTCAGGGTGCTGCAGCCAAACGCGTGCGCGCTAACTCAAAACGTCAAAACGAACGCTCGTGCGTTTCGTCAGAGATTAGAAGTCTAGTCTCTGGTTTCGTTTCCCTCCCGCTTCAGTAGACGCCCAGGCGAGAGCACTGGTGCGAACTTTACTTCAAGTGGACATACTTCATTTGAAAAAGTAGCGTTTTTCTTTAAAATTCTATTCGCACCAAATCCACGTAATTACGTGGATTTGGTGCGAATAGACACAGCGTTCAGTTAATACAGTCAAGATGCCGCGTATTATGATAAAAGGTGGTGTTTGGCGAAACACCGAGGTAGGCTATTACCTAACCTAGCTATACTTGACAGAAAAATATTACTAAAACAGATTTTTATACAGTAAAATTAATCGTGTTGCAACGATTTCTATTATGACGCAATATTTGATTTCAGGATGAAATTCTTAAGGCTGCTGTGATGAAATATGGTAAAAATCAATGGAGTCGCATTGCATCTCTGTTACACAGAAAGTCAGCCAAACAGTGCAAAGCTAGATGGTTCGAGTGGCTCGATCCAAGTATCAAAAAGACAGAATGGAGCAGGGAAGAGGACGAAAAGCTCTTGCACTTAGCAAAGCTCATGCCAACGCAATGGAGAACCATTTCTCCTATTATTGGGAGAACAGCTGCTCAGTGCTTGGAAAGATACGAATATTTGTTGTATGTACTATTTGGCCCATTGAGAGGATTCGTGCGCCCAGGAAAATAAGTACCTATTTCTTTTTTTCAGAGATCAAGCTCAAAAAAAAGAAGAAGGGGACGACAGTGTGGATGATCCCAGGAAATTAAAGCCTGGTGAAATTGATCCTAATCCCGAGACTAAGCCAGCTAGACCAGATCCCAAGGACATGGATGAAGATGGTTTGCATGATATTTGCACTTATATTGTCGCAACACTACTTGAAGTTTACAGTGACATTGTTATCCCGTTTTGTGATTCTTTTCAGAATTGGAAATGCTATCTGAGGCAAGAGCGAGATTGGCTAACACACAAGGAAAGAAAGCCAAGAGGAAAGCTCGTGAGAAGCAGTTGGAAGAAGCTCGCAGACTTGCTGCTTTACAGAAAAGAAGAGAGTTGAGAGCAGCTGGTATTCAAGTGGCACACAAAAACAAACGAAAACGCGGAATCAATTATAACACTGAAATTCCGTTTGAAAAGAAGCCAGCTCAAGGATTTTATGATACATCTACCGAAGAGATTGATCCACTCTCTGCTGATTTTTCAAATTTACGGCAACAAAATCAATTAACTTGGCAAGAGAAGGAAGAAATCGAAAGGAAAAAGGACAAACAGAAGCTGAAGCAGAGGAAAGAAAATGATGTACCGGGGTCCATGATGAATCAAGAGCCGGTCAGGAAGCGCAGTAAACTTGTTTTACCGGAACCGCAAATATCGGATAGAGAATTGCAGCAAGTTGTTAAGTTGGGCAGAGCCTCTGAGGTAAATTTGAAATTTTTATAATTTGATGCCCCAACCAAATTCACTTGATCGTTTTTACTTTTCTTTTTTTTTATAGACCGCACGTGAAATAGCGTTAGAAAGTGGCAACCATGCCTCAGACAGCTTGCTGGCCGACTACTCTTTGACACCCAATACTGCAATAACTCCAAGGACTCCAGCTGCAGTTGACAGAGTTCTGCAGGAAGCTCAAAATGTCATGGCTTTGACACACGTCGATACACCTCTTAAGGGTGGACTGAACACAACATTGACAAACGCTGATTTTAGCAATGTAGTGCCGACGCCAAATGCCGTGGCGACTCCTAACACGGTGTTGGCTACACCATTTAGATCACAGAGAAGCGATTCGTCGCCAGCACCCTTTAATACTCCTGGCTCCGTTGTCAGTCAACAGGGAGGAGCTGCTACAGCTACTCCTATTCGTGACAAGCTTAATATCAATCCCGAGGAAGCGCTTGAGGCTTCCGAAACTCCAGTGATTCAGAAACAGGTGTGCTGTCCTGTCCAATTTTTTTATTTTTTCTAATGAGTTAATACTACCTTTTTTTAAATTTATTTATTTACTTCAGATGAAAGAGCAGCTTCGTCTCAGCTTTAGTTCACTGCCAGCACCAAAGAATGACTATGAAATCGTTGTACCAGAAGAAGAAATGGCAGAAGAAGATGCAAGTGCTCCAGCAACTGACGTTGTTGAAGACCAGGCTGACATTGACGCCAGAAAACAGCAGGAGTTAATAGAACAACGTAATTATTGCACTGTTTTCTAATCGTGAAATCAAACTTTATTTTTTAGTGAAATTGTTTATTATTAAAATTTATTGTTCGGCGGTTACAGGAAAAAGAGAACTTGCCAAACGCTCGCAAGTCATCCAAAGAGAGCTTCCTCGACCAAATGATGTTAATGTAAATATTTTAAGACAAACCAGTGATTTACCATCATTAACGGAATTGCAGAGGGTAATCTTTTTTTACTAAAAAAAAAAAAGCGTGACATCAACTTTTTACTGTCATAATAATAATAAAAATTGATCTTTGTAGGCGGAAGAATTGATAAAGCAAGAAATGATCACTATGATGCAATATGATGTGACCCAGAATCCCATACAACCTCCAAATAAAAGCACACAAAAAGTCATTAATCAAGCACAGAACTATCTGGAATCTCATCCTTATGAGGAATTCAGTCCTGAAGATCTAGAAGAAGTAAGTTGCAAACGTGTGAGCACTTAGACTCTGGGTATAAAAAAAATGTGAAGTCATAAATATAATGTTTTTTTAGGCCAAAAAAATTTTATCAGAAGAAATGCAAGTAGTTCAGAAAGGAATGGGTCATGGTGAAGTAAATTTAGAAACTTACAGCAGCGTATGGGAAAAATGTTTATCTCAGGTAAAAAGTTAAACAACTTATTAATGAGGTGATATAAAATTTTATGGTGAATCATATCTTATTATAATATATATTTGTTGCAGATTTTGTTTGTAGAAACACAGAAAAGGTACACTCGAATCAATTTAGCTAGTAAGAAAGACAAAATTGAAGCTTATGAAGCAAAACTAGAACAAAATAGAATGCATATGACTGCTGAGGCAAAGCGAGCTGCAAAAATGGAGAAAAAATTAAAGGTGTTATTGGGTGGTTATCAAGTACGAAAAATCTTATTTTTTAATCATGCCTTCTGATATAATTCGTGTTTATTTAATTTATTTCGTATTTTTAGAGTCGAGCTCAAGTTTTGATAAAACAATTCAATGATTTGAACGAACAGCATGAACAAGCACGCATGGATTTGTCCACATTTAGATTTTTGCAAAAACAAGAAGAGGCAGCGCTACCAAAGAGACTCGAAGCTCTCATGGAAGACGTTAACCGTCAAAAAGAAAGAGAACATGCGTTGCAGCAGCGTTATGCACAGTTGCAGGAGCAATTAAAAGCCATGCAAGTTAACTCTTACCAATAAATTTATTGACAAGCAACATAAACTTTTTTATTACAATTTGTTATTAAGTCAAGTGTATTTAAACGTAACCAATTTGCATCTATTTATTTTCGTATGTACAATTTTAAAGGCGCTACTTTGTCTCCTTGTATTAGCAGTTCATTAACGGTATAAATAGTAGATTTATTTACAATTTGTTTTATTCATACTTGTAAAAATTACCGTAATCAACTGAGAAATGATTTATTTACACAAGTTACTCTGTTTAATCTTATGAATTTTAATCAGATGAATATCAGCACTTGAGTATGTTGGATGCTGTTGGCTAACTGGAATGTATTCAATTTCGAATCTTTTTTTTAACTCTGTTAAAAATTGTTTCCACACGACGACTTGCTTTGGTGTGTCTCTTTCTTCTTGAGATAAAATGGTATAGGTTCCACAGTCAGCATCACAGAAAATCTCTAATGTACACAAAAGTGGTTGTACAGACTAAAATAATATTAAAAGAACGAATAAATAAGTTTTTATTTAATTTTAACACAACTTTCTTCATAAGTATTATTATTACTTACTTTTTCATAGTACACACAATCTGTAAGGAGAATTATATCATACTTGGAATTTAATTTGACTTCTTTACCCCAATCAAGAACCTGAGCTTCAGCTGTACCTCCTAAGCCTGCCAATGAATCTTTGTTGACTTTGACATTTTTTTCCAACATTGGCAAGGTATCCTTCAAATCAGTTAAAACTACATTCGCCCTAGATAATCAAATACCTTATTAAAAAAAAAAACCAAAACAAGCAGTAAAAAAAAAAAAATTACCCCAAACATGCAGCAGTGAGTCCAGCACAACCTAAACCGGCTCCAAGCTCTAAAACTTTTTTACCCTGTAACCACCTGTTTGTTTTGCTGGTAAAATCAAGATATTTTGCAAGAACAATCGCCGCATCCCATATGACACAACTGACATTACCAACGTTTTTCTGAACAAATTTCAATGTCACCCCGCAACTCTCAAGTTCCACTTCCCGCACAAACTCGTCGTTATCATTGTCCATTTCGAGTCTCTTACAAATGAAATGGTACTAAAATAATCACAAACTAATTAGTGGGAACAAAAATGCGCACTCAAAGCAGCCGACGTTGGGAGGTTGGTATGCTGTGCAGCAGTTAAGTTACGTACAGGTAACGCCGCATGGTCGGGCGGCGCTAGCGTCAACCTGTACTAACTGTCGGTGGGTTCCGCGTTCCGCATGTCAACAAACTTCGATATTTATTTTTACTGTCTTCGCTCCCATGCCATCCGATGTTTCGGAGAATATAGGAAGTAATAATTATTTGGATCAGCGCCATCTAGAGGTCTATATTTTTTGGCCAAAAGTGGCTCCTAAAATTCTGAATCGTAGCAATCAGGAGAAGAGCCATTTAATCAAATATAAACCAGCCGCAACTCATGATGAAGCTACAAAACAAAAAAATAACTATACATATGTTTTTGGCGGCAAGTAAACAATCTATCTTTTACTCGAAAATTCATCATCAAAAGTATAAATACATATGAGGTCAATTTTTTGGTAGAAAATAGATTTTTAACTTGCCGCCAAAAACACACGTATTATTATTTTTTGATTTTATAGCTTTATCATAAGTTGCGGCTGGTTTATAATTGACTAAATGGCTCTAATCCTGATTGCTCAGATTCAGAATTTTAGGAGCCACTTTTGGCCAAAAAATAAAGACCGCTAGATGGCGCTGATCCAATATAATTATTGCTGTTGCTACTTACAGTAAAGTCACTTTATTAGTTATAAACCAGCCGCAACAAATCTTATAGATAGATAGTAAAAAGTTAACATTTTTTGTGCTACTTGCGGCAAGTTTACAATTTATCTTTTACCTTAAAATCGACCTCCAAAACCATAAATATTCTACTTATCTTATATGGCTCATAAAATAGACAATATTTACAAAATTACAATACTCTAGACCTTTTACCATTAACTCATGTAAGCACAAATTAATCAGTCGAAAAGAGACAACTGAAGAATAAGGCCTGAAAAAGAAGCACAGTCACAAGAAGAGTCTCCTAAGAATGGAGCATCGGATATCACGAAATAAAAAATACATTTATTACAGAGAAGTAAGTTTTAAGTAATATAAATAAACAAAGAACCCAACCTTCTCTGATTAAGTGAGATCCGATGCTCCATTCCTAGGAGACTCTTCGTGTGACTGTGCTTCTCTTTTAGGCCTTTTTTGTTTAGTCGTTTCCTCTAGACTGATTAATTTGTGCTTACATGAGTTAATGGTAAAAGGTCTAGAGTATTGTAATTTTGTAAATATTGTCTATTTTATGAGCCATATAAAAGAAGTAGAATATTGATGGTTTTGGAGATCGATTTAAAGGTAAAAGATAAATTGTAAACTTGCCGCAAGTAGCACAAAAAATGTTAACTTTTTACTATCTATCTATAAGATTTGTTGCGGCTGGTTTATAACTAATAAAGTGACTTTACTGTAAGTAGCAACAGCAATAATTATATTGGATCAGCGCCATCTAGCGGTCTTTATTTTTTGGCCAAAAGTGGCTCCTAAAATTCTGAATCTGAGCAATCAGGATTAGAGCCATTTAGTCAATTATAAACCAGCCGCAACTCATGACAAAGCTATAAAATAAAAAAATAACGATACGTGTATTTTTGGCGGCAAGTTATCAATCTATTTTCTACCAAAAAATCGACCTCCTATGTGTTTATACTTTTGAAGATAAATTTTCAAGCATAAGATAAATTGTTAACTTGCCGCCAAAAACACATGTCTCGTTATTTTTTTGTTTTGTAGCTTCATCATGAGTTGCGGCTGGTTTATACTTGATTAAATGGCTCTTCTCCTGATTGCTACGATTCAGAATTTTAGGAGCCACTTTTGGCCAAAAAATATAGACCGCTAGATGGCGCTGACCCAAATAATTATTACTTCTTATATTAGACCCATTTAATCAATTATAAACCAGCCGCAACTGATCTTATAAATAGGTAATAAAAATTTAACGTGGTCCCTGCTATTTGCGGCAAGTTTACAGTCTATTTTTTACATAAAAGTCTACCTTAAAAAATATAGATATTCATATGGTTTAATAAAATCGACCAAATGGCATTACTTAGTAGTAATTACTTTAATTACTACACATAACTTCACGTACATCTTACACCGTGCTCTCTCTACCAGAATGATAAAATCAGAGGCTGTAAAGTTACGTAGGTCGTGGTGTTACTTAACGCCGCTACTTGCTGGTGACGATTGCGGAAAACACCCAATGATATCCACGATACACACATTACACACCACGACACCACACACGGTATACACACACCTGTCCTTTTAAAACAATAAATTGAGCCACCAATCGGGGAGCTCCGACTCCGACAGTCCGAATCCCGACTCGCAGTTTGCAATTGCCGGTTGATCATTTCTGGTAATATATTTTATGCGCGCATGATTGAAGGTTAGACTATAAGCGGTCGATTACTTATTTGAGTAATTTTGTTTAATTAAATCTTTGTTTTTGTTCAAGCAGTTTTTGAAGTAAGTTTATTCTTTAAAGACATTTGATGAAGTAGTCAGTAAGAGTATACTTGATCAGCAGGTTAATTTCCAGGAGCTGTAATGCTTGCAAGTTGCAAGATCTAAAAACGAGCAAATTTATTAACAAAAAACATGGATCAAACAACAGCAGAGATAAGCAAGCATAATTCAAATGCGGTCCTGGCTCCCCGGATGTTTTTTGCCGTTGGCATGAGCATAGTTGTGCACTTTCTACTGTCATTGTCATCAATGAGCGGTGTGATACTTATGACAAACCTGGACATAACTCATCCCTTGGAGTGGCTGAGAAATACATGGAACGTCGTCACGTGCCTTAGAATGTGGACTAATTTTATTATTTTTTCGGTGGTAGTTTTTTTTTTGGGTATCACCTGCAGGAAAAATTATCTCAATCCACCCAAGTATGCCTCTAGTCGTTTTGTGAAATTCTGCTACTTTTTTACGCCTACGAATCTCAAGCTGGGGATGCTATACATGTTACTTGGTGGTGTTCTTGCTTGGCTGCACATGTCCGTGGAAGGAGGCAGGTTTGGATCTTTGATAAAGAAATGCGACAGAATCGGCAAGTATTGTCTCGTCGAAGAGCATTACTTCTTATTACTGGAGGGCTTCTGGATCGGCATCTACTTTTTTTTCAATTCTAATTATATGGGACTCCATAATCTGCAATTTCCCATCATTCCCTTGTCAAAGATAACTCAAGTTAAAAGAGGCATCAGAAGCATGATTAGTAATGCACTTCTGGACGGGCTGTGGCCAGTTTTCTATTTCTTTGGATTTTACGCGATGTTTGGAAGTTATTGTAGAGACATTTTGGTCATACCTGCCTCTCTGTCACTCGAAGATATACCACTCGACAAATTCTCCAAGCTACTGAATATATCATTATTTTTTCATGCCTGGCTGTATGCCGTGCTCTTTGTACTGATTATACAGAGCATGCACCTGCTTTTTCAAGCCTTCCTCACGCAATGGATTCAATTTGACATTGAGACTGTTCAGTTTATCGAAAAGCCTACTACAATTACACTCACAGATGCACTTGCAATGGAGAGTACGCCGATTCTTCAGCAGTTGGGATACTTAGATCTTGTAACTGTTGCTCAGAAAGATAAGATGAGAAGGTGTAAGCTTTTCACATTGAGTCAACCTGGAGGACATCCCTACAATTGGAACAGGGTAGTAGAAAAAAGTTTATCACTGATAGAAAAATTTTCAGAGCAACTGAATTCTGCGTGTTCTGCTCAAAAGAGTCAAGTAACCCAACAAAGCAATCCCATGTCTAATACTTTGTCCTCTCCAATAACAAACAGAACATACACATATCAGATGAGAAATCTGGTATCTCCAATGGTGGCTAATTTTTCTATCACACCTCAAAAAGCCGATATAAACTGTAAAACAGAGTCTACTGATAACTTTGTTATACAATTCTACAAAAATCTCAGAACGTCTGTTGTCAATTATTTTCTATCAAAGAAACCCATCTCCTATATTTTTGCTGAGCAGTTTGAAAATAAAATTAGACATTTGCTTATCAATGCCCAGGCTATTATTTGGGCTTCAGATGCAATCTCGTCATTAGCTGCCTTATCTCTAACTGAAGATCCATACGGAATCGTCCAAAAAAATTTACATGAAATTATCGAGGTGTTACTGAGGTTGAAGCAGTCGCTAGATAAACTGCAAAAGTTAAACATTTCAATGAGAAAACCTGTCAGTGATGATAGACTACTTAGACAGACGCTGACTACATTGCGTAGTACTGTCAGAAGAAGCTTATACAGGATAGTTTCGCACTTCAAAAATTATATCAACGATTTGGAACTCGCCCCCTTAACTATTGATCAGTTGCAGCCATTTTTTACATATAGAGAATAATTGTTACGTTTTCACGATCAAAAGAAACACATTTTTTTGCAAATCCATTAATATTTAAGTTCACATTGTGTCGCGTAAGTTCTCAAAGTGTATTTGACTGTACTTACGCCTATGAAACTTCAAATTTAGCTCTATTTTTAAAATTTTTGTACTTATTATAAAATACAAAAAAAAAAAAAAAAAAAAAAAACAAAAAAACATAAGAATTGCTTTTTTTTTCTTTTTATTTTTTTTCTTAAAAAAACTTTTTTTTTTCTCTTAACTGCCACAGACAAATTAGTTTGTATTTTTTATTACAAAATGTATTTTTGTAAATTATTGAATTTCCAAATAGCTATATTTGGAAAATCTGTGATATTCTTTGACAGTAACATTAAAAGTACGATTAATTACATGAATGCTTGATGATTCTCAATAATACTCGAGCTTTTAAAACTTATAATAAAAATTAGTGCATTAATACGTTTTTATTTGTACTTTTTTTCATTATATATTTTTTTACCGATATAACTATAAATTTAAAAAATAACCAGTGGTTGCAGAAATTAAAACAATTTGATTGTTACATTCATAAAGTATGAATTAAAATCACATTTACTACACAAAAGTGTACCGTCTTTGCTGAATTTGAAATGTATCTTCTATATATAATCTACAAGAGGTGATTGGTAGCGTAACTATTTATGTTTATGTTTATGTCTGTTTGTAAACTTTATACACGACCTTGCCAGCATCAAGCGATAAATACATACGTTAAATAGCTTATATCAGTGCCTTAATGATACAAATACTATATACTACGTGTTACTTTAGTTTATAGCTTTGTATACCTTTAGCTGATGGACATCCATCACAAAGTTCGCGCGATCGTTTTGGTGTAAAAGTTTAGTTGTAAGTAGGTCGTGGTGTTACTTAACGCCGCTACTTGCTGGTGACGATTGCGGAAAACACCCAATGATATCCACGATACACACATTACACACCACGACACCACACACGGTATACACACACCTGTCCTTTTAAAACAATAAATTGAGCCACCAATCGGGGAGCTCNACGAGAGAGTGATATAAGTAATATACTCAAGCTGGTGCCGGTCATCAAGATGAGCGTACAGAAAAGTAGGCACAGCACCATCTGCGCGGGAAGTATCATCAAAAAACCCGAGAGCTTCGCCGAAGACGAGTCTTGGAGCTGCAGCGGATTGCACTCGACCATCTTTGCCGGGATGAATTTGGATTTGTCGACCAAGCCGCTGCAAAATGCCGAGGTGGAGAGCCGCCAATTGACCGGTTTCTTGACCACCATCAACGAGGAGAGAAACAGCGCCACGACACCGGTCTCCCTCAGTCCCACCGAGGACTCAAACATCTTGAACCTCAATTTGGACGCCCTGCAAGGCGACTCCGACGTTTTCTTGGACTGCTCGCCCGAGGCCACGACCAACAATCGAGTCCCACCGCTAACCAGGTGAGTTTACCTGCTCACACGCTTTGTTCAATTCTGAGAAACGATTAATGTGATTTTTCCTTGCAGCTGCAGTCCCCGTGTCTCGGCACCGAAAGCCGACAGTGCCGGCACCAACGGAGGACCGACGCCCGCCATCTTCACGTTCTCGCCGCGCCGAAACTCGTGCACTGGGGCTCTGCTCGATAAAATAGCAAAGGACTTTGACTCCTTGACGATGGACTCCCAGCCCCAATCGACTCCGAACGTCGACGTTAGTCCACGCCCAGCTGCTTCCATCTGCGACGACGCCTCCCAGGTAGTTTCCTCCTCGACGATCGACGATGCATCGAGGCGCGGCAAGAAATCGGCAACGAAGAAGATCAAGCGGCTCCAGGGTGGCCGCGACCGCTCCCCCCTTCCGAGTCTCATCCCCATCAGGATGCGCTCGCCCAGTCTGCTCGGCACCACCGGCAGAGTTTCCGAATTGAAGAGGGCCTTTGAGAGGTCCCCGGGACAACAGGTCCCCACTGGCACGCCCACCGTGAGGAGGCCGCTGCGATCTATCGTCACCAGAAAACCTATACCGCAACCGTTGGACCTTCGTAGGTGGAAGCACAGCCCCTTAGCGACAAGCAGCAGCGGAGTTAGCTGCAGTTACGGCCACAGCAACAGTAGCGGCTACAACAACACTTCCGTTGTCCCCAAGGGCAAGGTAGCCGCCATAAAGCGCTCCTTGGCCACGAAGATCCCCGAGAGCCGCCACCCGCTGGTCGGGACGCCAAAGCTCCATCGGAAGACGACGACGGCCAAGCCAAAAGTGTACCTCCAGGCTACCTGCCGCCACGCAACCGGTGACAATGCCGATACCCACGTGGTGCACAAGCGATCGGCTTCCACTTCGGATTGCCCAGCGTCTTTCTCTCCCTCCACCTGTTTCACGGATTTGCTCGAAGCACCTTGTCAGCGCCGGAACAGCCAACGTCGACGTCGCCGGCGCAGCCTATCCGCGAGTGCGATCGAATCGTCCTCTTGTTCCTCTACGTCGTCGATGTCGCCGATCGCGACGAGGGCAAGGTTCGTGACCGTCCGAAAGTATCGTGGGTCCAAAATGCCGGTTGTGCCGTCCGTCTGCAAGCTTCAGGTGAACAAGTCCGCGATCATGAACAGGAGGAGCTTGGGCTTTGTCAGCTCACCGATCAAGTCGGTCAAAGAGCTGCGCGGTATTTTTTTGCCTCGCCAGCAAGTTGGAGGAAAGGGTTTGTACCCACATACATTCTTGCGTATTTTCTTCGATTGTCATCTTATTTGTTTTTAAAGTTACATGAGATTTTTTTTCATTCATGTTGCAGGTTTTAAAAAAGTTGTGGCAGATAAAAGCAAACTTTCCATTCCAGCTGTAAGGATTAGCGATTGCGATAGTCTTTTGCAAAAACAAAGACTCTAACTTATGTCAACAGAAATTTTTTGTGTACTTGTTTAAGTTGATCTATCTATTTATGTCTATGAACTTTTGAAACTTAAACTTACTTTTTAATGATTGTTTTTCATACACTAAGTATTTTAGAATATTTTATCAATTAACGTTAAAAAAATGCAATGTGAAATTTGTAACTATTATTGTTAAATGGATTGTAATTTCATTGCATGTTATTGAAGTGAGGTTTTTCTAAGTTTTGTTATAGATTAATACTAAATCGTCCAAGATAGTGTGAGAAGCAACAAATTTTCAAAACGTCAGAAAATTTTTTTTTGTATGTACAAGTTTTAAATCGAAATTTTGTGTGACATCCTTGAATATTTTGACTTTAATTTTAGTTTACATTAATAAAAGAAGTGATGAAAAATGAGCAATCATTTATTTTAATTTCTTGAAAAACCTTGAAAAATCGATGTTATACAAAACTAAAATCTTTAATTAGTTTATTTACAATTTAAAATTAATATTACACCTTTAAACTAATCACGCACACAGTAGCATCACAATAGTCATTTACGTCCTTTTCAAGTGCTGTACAACACTAAGATTGTAAAAGATTTTCTCCCTTAAGACTTTCCAACTTTTAAGCTGACTCTTTTGGAACTCACCTAAAAAGTCCGCCAATTCCTTCTCACTAGCAATCACAGTTCCGTGATACTTCAAAAATAATGACAAATAAGCTTGCGCAAGTTCAAAGTCTTTTTTGCTTTTAAGCATGAACTTTAACATTTTCATGAATTGTAGCATAAATGGCACCATGCTCATCATGTCGAAAGCTAACTCTTGAACTACCTTGTCTATATCACTTGGGCCCATACTCTTTAATTTTTCTACCAAATCTGAAAACTCATCAGACTCTATGCTCTTTTCCAGCAGTTTTCCAAAAGGTGTCGTTATCTTGAACTCGGGATGACGAACCAATTTGCTGTTTGCATTTTCAGTTTGTACGTCTGAAAAATCAAACTGAGGTTGCAAACCTGAAATAGTTGGAAGAAAAAAAGGAGCGGCAGCCGGGGTTTTCAGTGGTTCTCTTGGCTTGTTGCGCCTTTTCACGATGTCAATGTTAAGGAGATTCAACCATCTGGACGTGGCTAACGCCGACATGGTAATGAGTTTTGAGTTTAGCTGATCAGGTGATACATAATCTTCGCTGTCTACGTCTTTTACTTCATCGTCATCAATGACTATAGATTCCTCTTCATTCGCATTTTGCGATTTGTCTTTAGATGAATTGGGTAACGAAATAAGAGGTATTTGGTCAGTGTCTTTAACAGCTTTCAAAGAAACATGTGAGTAGAGCGTACGATTTGACCAAAGATAAATTCCAAGATTGCAAACGTGAGTAGATGCCAGAAATTCACCAGTGGGTGAAAAAGTAAGTGATGTACATGCGTCTGGTACCTAAAAGTACAATCATTGTATTAAAAATAGTTTTTTCAAGTAGAATTTTATGTTATGAGCCATTTGAATACCAACCTGAAAAATATCTATCAATTGTGAAGATGGTATATCCCAAACTCTGATTGACCTGTCCATGGAGGCACTGACGAGCCACCGTGAGTCAGGGCTGAAAGATGCATCTGTAAGTCGACCTGTGTGGCCTTCAAATTTCCTTACTATTTTTCTTGTGTCAATATCTATCAAAACAATACTGAAATTTTGAAGAGCTACAGCCATCAAAGAATTTTCTTTGTGAGAGCGTAACCACTCAACTGATTCTTCTACTTTGATCACCGTTTTTGGCTCCTTATCTATAGCTGAGTTAATGCAAAGAGATTTATTAATTCTTAGATTTTTTATTATAATAACGTACGATTAATTACTTAGTTATGAAAGAAAATTACCTCTCAATGGTTTGAAAGTCCAGAACTTTACAGTTGCATCCCTTCCAGCTGATATAACAACTGTATTCAAGGCATCGGCAGTTACTCCTTTCACAGACCCGTCATGAGCTCCTTTTTCATTACCATAAGATGATCTATGCAGGCCTGACTGAATATTAAATCTTTCCACGTGACCATTATTGTAACCAATAATTACGAAATTGCCACACTGAGTAATGGTAACAGTGGTAGCTGTGATGTTCATATTGAATTTGAATTTTTCCGGTAACAGCTTGTGTTTACCCATTTTCAATTTGTCGTACGACCACGTGGTAACGACACCAAGACCATGATGAGTGGCTGCAATGTTATCCCACTCTTTATCTCTGGTTCTTTCTGCAAAAATCTCCGTCATAGGTGGCATTATTAAAGGATCCTCTACTATTCTGCCTTTTTTCTTTGAGGCTTTTCTGTTGTAAGAAGCTCTCCCCAAGCTTTTGTTGAAAGTTTCCGTCTGGGTTGAAAATATTCTCAGAGAGGAGTCTCCACTAATGGATAAAATATTGTGTCCATCGTCTCCATAAAATCTATAACGAGTATCAATTGAGACGAATTCTAGCACATTATTATATGAAAATGTACAAAATTAAGAACAAACCTTATAGTGGTCGGGGGCTCAGCGTGACCTTCTCTTACTTTCAATAACCTTCCGGCCCCATCAGCCAAATCAAATATCCACACTTTGAGCGTATTATCCGGTGACGAAGAAACCAGCAGTGGTTCTTGTGGCAAACACTTTATTCCTGTCACAGACCCATAGTGCGCATTCAATATTTGACTTTCTATCCTGCGTTTATCAAGATTCCACAACACAATGTGACCCTGAGTGGTGCCAGTTGCCATTATATGATTGTCACCATCAGTCCTGAACGATATGGCTGTGACAAGACCCCAGTCTTGAACAAGTTCAAAAACCGATTCATTCACTTTCAAATTGTGCAGTATAATCCTACCATCGATAAGACCAACAGCGACAACGTCAGGAGCAGGCGCCTGCTCAATGATATTAATCTTACACCTCCAGCCGTCAAAGGTGTAAATCATCTTCATCATTTTGATGTTCCACAGCTGCATTGTTCCTTGCTCGCTACCCAAAAGTATCTTATTGATGTAAGTAACAGGATGCATCAGGGCACTGATCATAAAGGTTGAGTTGCTGAAACGAGTTTCAGCTGCAACCTCCTCTGTCTTGACATCCCAAATCTTCAAGTGGCCCTCCTCATCCACGGATATCAGATGAGGCCCAAAGGGCAGCATTAAATGCACTTGGCACGAGTGTCCCTTGTACGTGTGCTTAAGTTCGTTACCTCGTCTCCAGGCATAAATGTTGTTACCGCTAGCAGTATAAATGTGAAAAGTATCAGCTGCAAGACAAGTAATGTCATCTTCGTGGGCAGGTGAGACGCTCAGCAAAGTTAAATGCGAGTAGCCATAGGTGTGAAAGCTGCGCCCGGTGCAGGTGACGATGAGATTTTCTTTGCGACGTTGGATGTAGCGAGTTACCACGGGTACGTGGTTGCTCACGTAGCCCAAGGCTCGGTTGCGTTGAAATAACCTGCTGTGCGACATTTTCTTTGGCAAACGCTGTGTCTATTCGCACCAAATCCACGTAATTACGTGGATATAAGGTTAAAAATTTTAAAGAAAAACGCTACTTTTTCAAATGAAGTATGTCCACTTGAAGTAAAGTTCGCACCAGTGCTCTCGCCTGGGCGTCTACTGAAGCGGGAGGGAAACGAAACCAGAGACTAGACTCAGAGATGAGTAGACTAGACTTCTAATCTCTGACGAAACGCACGAGCGCACGAGTGCACCGAGTGCACGAGCGTTCGTTTTGAGTTAGCGCGCATGCGTTTGGCTGCAGCACTGACAACACAGTACACACGTGCGATGCGCACAAGAGTTGTGGAAGTTTTGTCTCACTCGAACAGGTTAATAAGAATTCTACGTTGTCGACAGATGTACTAATTCTCTAGCGACTCTATAGCTGCATGTTTCCCTTTAGGTCTCCCAGCTTAAGCTTGGTCTCTCTATCTCTAGTAATTGTAATTGTATCAACACGTTGTTAAAAATAGGAAAAAAATACTACTTAACACGTGAAACAATAATTACAGAAAATGGTTTCAAAAATGGCTTACAAGGCTGAAGAAAAATGGAAGGTGAAAATCAACAACCATCTAAAAAAGAAAAAAAAACATCAATTAAAAAGGAGAAAGGAGGAAAATGGTAAGGCGCGAGTGATGTGTATAGGTTATAAATATTGTGCTGTACATACCAAAAATTTTCTATTTTGGATAGCTGGGTAACAAGATTTTCTTTTTAATCTGTATTTATGTAGTTTATTTAACATACGTGCAGTGTTAAGTGAGACATCATTTTTATTTGAAGTACTTTTATCTTGAATATTCTGTGACATGTCTTGAGTTTATTTCAATTTTGTATTAGCATATTAACTTATTACATGTGCAAAGTCTTTCTAAATCGTCTGATTTTTCTCCTTTATTGATTTTGAAGAGATTTAACACGTATGCATTGTTTATAAACTATTTATTGTATTGAAATTAGCTTATTTAATAATTTTACTGTACAGTTGTTAATGTTTACATGGCACCATACTCTCAGATACCGCTTTTAATCCACAATATAGCGATCAGGAGTAAGGTTTTTCAGAAACTTGATGGGTACAATTTTTTTTCCGTTCTGCAGAGAAGCACAGTGACAATGATGAAATTGAAGACAACCAGTCCCAAGAAGCAAAACCAATTATTGAGGAAGATAAACAAAAAGAATTGATTGAAGAAGACAACAAAGAGATAAGTGAACAATGTTAGTATTAATATTGAAACATATTTTAAACTTAGCGCGATTCTGCCAGTCTGCAGACTGCCAGACTCCATGTAATCTCACCCTCAGGGTGCTGCAGCCAAACGCGTGCGCGCTAACTCAAAACGTCAAAACGAACGCTCGTGCGTTTCGTCAGAGATTAGAAGTCTAGTCTCTGGTTTCGTTTCCCTCCCGCTTCAGTAGACGCCCAGGCGAGAGCACTGGTGCGAACTTTACTTCACTTGGACATACTTCACTTGAAAAAGTAGCGTTTTTCTTTAAAATTACTAACCTTATATCCACGTAAATACGTGGATTTGGTGCGAATAGACACAGCGTAGTATTTTTGATAAATTGAAACTGAACATTGTTTTAACACTTGATGTTATTTTACAGTGCCGGGCTCATCGATTGGTTATCAAATTTCGCAAGACAAATCTTTTGCTGTTCTCAAAGACAAAATTGACGATAACATATTGAAGGCAATAACAGAAAACTTGGAGTTCACAACTATGACGGAAATACAAGCACAAGCAATTCCACCGCTTCTTGAAGGAAGAGATCTCATTGGTGCAGCTAAAACTGGCTCTGGAAAAACTTTAGCTTTTCTAATACCTGCTGTCGATCTCATGTTTAAGCTCAAATTCATGCCACGCAATGGTATTTCACGTTAAATATTTGATAAAAATGCTTTTTCAAGTGCAAATCGCTCAACTAGAATTAATTTTTTCTTACTTCGTGTAGGTACTGGATGCATAGTTCTTTCGCCAACGCGTGAGTTGGCAATGCAAACTTTCGAGGTTCTCAAAGAATTAATGGAGTTTCTTCCTCAAACTTATGGTCTTTTGATTGGTGGTACATCGAGGCAAACTGAAGCCAAGCAATTGGCCAAAGGCATCAACATCATTGTAGCAACACCCGGCAGATTACTCGATCATTTACAAAACACTCCAGACTTTTTGTACAAAAATCTTCAATGTCTAGTTATTGATGAAGCTGACAGAATTCTCGACACTGGTTTTGAAGAAGAGCTTAAACAGATCATCAATATTTTGCCTAGTGAGTAGTAAACTATTTTAGGATACTGTTACACCTTTTTTTTTTTTTTCTCAACTCTGTAAGCACTTCCGGAACATATGATTTGTAATTTGCAGAAAGAAGACAGACAATGATGTTCAGTGCTACGCAGACAAAAAAAGTCGAAGCACTCAAAGCGTTTGCTTTAAAAAAAGAACCCGTTTATGTCGGCGTTGATGACAACAAAGACAACGCCACGGTAGATACGCTAGAACAAGGCTACGTCTTATGTCCCAGTGAGAAACGGTTTCTACTGTTGTTCACATTTTTAAAGAAGAATCGAACCAAAAAGATCATGGTGTTCTTCAGCTCGTGCATGGCCGTAAAATTTTATCATGAACTTTTAAACTACATCGACTTGAATGTTATGTGTATTCACGTAAGTTTATGTTTGATTGATGTAAACGAGAAATTTACTTTTCCTTATAAAATCCAATTAACGCTTGACGCAGGGCAAACAAAAACAAAGCAAAAGAACAACGACCTTCTATCAATTCAAAGAAGCAAAGGAAGGAATATTATTGTGTACCGATGTAGTTGCCAGAGGTATTGACATTCCTGCGGTAGACTGGATTGTCCAGTATGATCCGCCAGATGATCCAAAGGTAAACTTTGGACTTTTTTTTAAATATCAAAATAAAGATCAGAAGTAAAACATATGTTGAAAAATTGTCATTCCAAAACCTTTTAGGAGTACATTCACAGAGTTGGTCGAACGGCTCGCGGTATAGATACGTCCGGTCATGCCTTGTTGATTCTACGTCCCGAAGAAGTCGGTTTCCTTCGTTTTTTGAAACAAGCCAAAGTCTCTGTAAACGAGTTTGAGTTTTCATGGAACAAAATAGCTGACATTCAACTACAGGTGAGTGCTCTTTCATTTTCCAACAACACTTTGGCAAGGGTAAATGTATATTGTAAGAAAAAGAAAAAAAAAATGTAAATTATCACTATCCTAAATCTTTGGAGTTCGACAGAGAGTCTGTCCGATCGCACGCACGACGCGCGCTTAAAAGTTATCGCTCTAACCGCATCCTGGCAACCAACGACTCTGTACAGCAATTAATTGCCGCTATGCTCCAAGGCTATGCCACTCAACGTAAAAAAAAAAAAAAAAAAACAACCTTTCGAGGCACTGTAATAGGTGTACACTCTAATGGCCTTTTTCTACGCACGAACGAACGACCATTAGCGGTAATCGAGTCGACGATCATTTTTGGCGCTCCGTGAGCAATTGCATCCAACGTTTGAGCCTCCTCCTTATACAGGTCTCGGTTGATTGTTCTGGTGGAATAATCATTTGTATGATAATCCCGACGGTCAGGTGGACTAATTGGCAGTAAATCCGAGAGTAAGATTTATATCGGCGATTAAAAATAAAACTCAAGTGGTTTGCTTGTTTCTCAAAGTTGGACAGCAAAATTGAGAGGACGAGAGTGCGTTGCAAGCAAACGCGCATGATATGTATACAAGCTAACGGATGAAAGGGCTTTAAAAAACTAGGGAGGCGGCACGGCACGTATGCATACCCCTTGACACTGAGATATGGTAACTGTACATCTCCGCTCCGCTGACAACGAATGAAAGGCAAATTCTCGCGGATGTGAGAACATAATAAGATATTAACTTTTTTTTTCCCCATACGAGGAGGAGAAGGGTCAAATAAGATGATTATTTAAGCCACAAGTCGGAAAAAAGGCGCACTCTATTTTAGTTTTTCACAACAAGTATTCAGCCCAAGCTTTTGTGTGATTCATCGCCTCGTTAATTTTGCTAAACGAGAGGGGGACTCCTCGTTAGCCCGAAATTTCGAAAAAGTCTCTTCGAGTCGACGCATATAATTATATTATACACGCTCAACCTAATTTTTCAGCAATTTGAAATATTCACGCGCGATGCACGCATACACGTAAGCTCATTCGACTAATTGCTCCAAATAACACTGCATTATTATAGGTGATCTACTTTTGATATGTGACTTGGTAAAAACAAAAAAAAAAAAAAAAAAGGTGCATATCTCGGTCGATAACTTTATAGTTTATTTTACGATAAAACGAACAAACGATCCTTCAAATTGAAACCAACGCGTATTTTTGCAAGCGCGCCCGCGTCCTTTCTTATTCGTATTGTACACCGTTACCGTACGTATACACGTTAAAGTGAGTGTATAAATGTACACTGGCCGAACGAAGAAATAATAAAGATTCGTTAACGACGCCAACTAAGCGTAAAACGAGCCCAATGAAATACGTATAAGACACATCCCGAGTCACGAAAAATCGTAACGACCGGGAGGATGAAAAAAAAAAAAAAAAAAAAAAAAAAAAAAAAAAAAAAAAAAAAAAA